TTCCCTTTAATATTACGTTAATTTTCTCTCTCCTTCATTTACAATTATTACCTTAGGTATCTTTGAACTTTTATTTAATTGACCATTCATTATTCTTCATATAAAATGCCTTGAAAGGAGTAGGTGTGTGTGTGACCAGATTGTTCGAAATGTATAGGGCAAATACATCACATTTTTCAGATTAAATAAACCTTCTCATTGTCCTATTAAAATTTTCTAAAACGGACTAATTGTTTTAAAACTGATTACGGTCGATCGAACTAAACTACACACCATAACTATACTATATTTACAGAGAATGATCACAGCATTTCTGAATGTAATAACACTTCTGTGCCTAGACATATAAGCACAAATTTTGAACTACAATTTGAACAATCACTAATCTTTCATTCCTCTAGTGTTTCGTCACAGGTTGTAAAGATTCTGAATAACCGTGAGAAAATTGTCAACGCAATTTCAGCACAATATTACATACTCAAGAGTGAACAGTATTTCGACTATTAAACTAAACAACTGAATAATTCTCAACGGAAAACCAATGATACACAGTCTCCTATTCAGTGACCAATCAATTCTAAACTGTAGACAATGATTCTGCACTTGATACTTTCATTCTTTTCAATGGTCGGATTACCGGTGTAAACAAACATACAATCACTTTTGTAAAAATGCTTTCAATATCTAGATTATTCATATTTCATGTGCTTTTAGTGATATGATGAAATCTATGAACGCATAATATGCGCATTTCATACTCCTCAAAATTATTGACTGACCTTCGAAATTGTTAATTTCACAATTGTATTTGTATATATCACAACCTTAATAAGGTTACCATAGTTACTTGTGATAATAGGACAAATTGTTTATTGAACTATAGTTTAATTTTGATCTTGTTTCAGTCTTAAATTTTCAGAAACAATTTTTTTCATAGAATGAAAGCAAACGACTAAGTACGTAGTTTAGACATCAGTTACACCATGAATAATTGTGTTATATATCCGATTGAAGTTTGAAGTAATAGTTAACTAGAGAATCGATTCATGGCTTATTATTATTATTATTATTATTATTATTATTATTATTATTATTATTATTATTATTGTATATAGTCTTATGATCAAGTCTATATATTCTTTTCCATCAACGTACAAACTCTCACCATACGTCTAGCTGTTCTTGTTTTGTTGTCAGTTTATGATTTACAGTCTTATGTATAATTGTGATTTGTCATTTATTGGTGTGATGCAGTCGAGTATGTCGGTATACACAACACCCATGTTTGAAATCTATCTCATCAGTGCTGGTAGCCTGGTGACTGACGAAATCTCAGCACCGATACATAAAGCTCGATTGGCTTTTGCCAACTTGCGTCATCTATGGCGCAGGCGAAATATCCGTTTGCTAGCGAAAGGAAGAATCTACTGAGTATCAGTTCACTCTGTCCTACTATATGCATGAGAAACATGTTAGGTAAGAGTGGAGGACATTCGTAGGTTACTAGTATTTGATTGCAGATGTCTTGGTCATATATCCTGGGACAGCCGAGTAAGCGATGTTATAGTTAGGAAACGAGTACTAGGTCAGCATGGCAGATCAATAAATGAAGTAGTTAAACTTCATCAGTTGAGGTGGTTGGGACATGTATTACGTATGTTCAACTACCGACTGACTTGACGATCAATGTATTGTGGTGTAGGAGTATGTTTAAAGAAAACTAGAGGCGGCTAGACGAAAAGATTGCACAAATCCATGATGTCACTGAAAAGTGGACTGAGTCATGTTGGTAGATGTTGGCTACCTGGTCGATAGGTAAAGACCTTGATCGACATGGCTCAAAAACGTTTGCAATGGCGCAAGTGTATCCACTCTTTGTGTTCTCTCAAATTCTAACCTTATGAATTTCTCATCATCTCTATCTTTCTTTCTAATGTTATCTCACTGAGTTTTATTTCTCGAATCATATCTCCGAACCATAATCTTCCACATTACCAGTAATACTTCTACTATCTCAGCCACTTGGTGATTTGAACTGGCAGTTGCCTCTCTGTGCCGATGCAGTATGTCAACCTGAATTTATGTACTCATGTACGAAGTTCTGCGTTGTAACTGACTGACTAGAAATATATTATCAATACAGCGGAGGCTGAATACTGTTTTCTGAAATCATCAGGCAAACTGGAGAGAGAACTGTCGATATAAAAAAAACACACACAAGCACAGACATATATATTTATCTGTGCTCTACATTTCAGCCGGATAATGTGTGTTGCATAGTTTTAGAATTACATATTAAGTCAACAATCAGAAAACTTCAAAATATCCTTGAGTTTTTGACCATTCAAAGATGCGACATGTCATACTGCCGATATCCCTTGCAATGTTTGGTTTTCTGCGCGTTCCGTATATGAATCGGACTATATTCAAGCGTGCATCTCCAAACAGCAGTAAAGGCCGAATGCTGTTATCGTGATTTCCTATCAAATAGCAGAACAATGTCCTGAGCTCATGTAAACTACTTGTAAATCGATTTCGTGAAATAATGACCATCTGTTTTCGGGGGAAAAACGCATCAAGTACACAGGTGAAGGACCGACACCACCGATCAATATGTTGTCTGATTTGTCCTATCTAGGATAATCGTTAGAATACACCTTCGTGTTGATAAAGATATTGTCGGTCGTTGATGATGCACCCTCATTCTGCATATGTATTTAACAAAAACATTGCTCTCTTTGCAACAAATATCTCATATAATGAAGTGGCACAGAACATGATTTCATAAACTGTTGATTGTCTTAATAGCTCCTCTTCAGTTGGAAATCGAACTCCAATAAACATTTCTCGAAACAGGTTCTCAGATTCGCTGTTCGATATTGACTTTTGGATCGACAGGACTGGGGTGATAAGAGTTGTGAAATGTTGTTTCTTTGAAGCTGATCATTTTATATAATTCAGAAAGCAGGTTTCAACTGAACAATAAAAATTACATACCTGATTGGTCTATGGGTAAAGGAGACAAGCGTGCATTGAAATCAATTTCAAACCATTAAAATTTGAAACTGGTTGACAGTATTTTGTCAGGAATTCATCCAAGATACTATTGGTCGATTTCTATTGGTCAAAATTATGGTCGTTTTAAATGTCAAAGTCAAATACTTCAATGTTGTCTCTTATTGGTCATCCGGACTGTCAATGTCATTTCAAATGTTACTTCCTATTGGTCGTCTTAACTGTCAATTCCACAGAATTCGATGCTGTTTCCTATTCGACCAAAATGCATAAACACACATTATATGTAACATTTTATGACCACGACCAGGACCAGGGCTCGGTCCCGGATACCTAGTCCGTGGTCCTGATTCTCTTCCGGATTCGGACCTCGTACTTTCTGGATGCTTGTAGAATACAAGTTCTACGTCATATCAAGTCTTCTTATTTTTACTTACTATGGGGGCGGCTGGGATAACTGGATTTGAGAAGTATATTGTGTCACCGGATCCTCGCTCTCGTTTTTCCGACTAGGTAAACTGGTAATAGTTCAAGTATATCAAGTTGACGTGTTTACATGCAGGCGTAACATATTTTACTCGTATTTTTAGTAAATCTTAAACGGTTTATCAGATATTCGATACATATTTGTAAAATGCTCAGTCACTATAGTTTGATCAAATTATAATCAAATACTAATGTTCACGGCCAACACCACTTATTGTTCCTGATAGATGAAAATAGGAAGTATGTGTCAGAAAAATAATTACTAATATTTAGATAGTTTTTACAGTTGAATAATTAGTATTTACCAGTAGATTTAATTCAACGATTATAAGTGTCATATCAAAATGATATTCAGTATGAAATGAAATTATACTGTCTAAATATTCCAATACTGAATTTCTTAAAATTTTCTGAAATAAGTTAGCTCGCCTACAAACAGTACGAATGACAATTCAAATTATCATATCAATCTCATCGCTGTGGATTTTTACTTTAATACATGAATGGGGTAATAGACATAGTGAATTATCAGTTGAATCGAAAAGCCACTGTATTTTAAGAAGCTAGATTTCTAATTAAGTGTCTAAAATCTACAATTTTCGAATGAGTCGGCAAGTTGACAGACAGAAAAATGAATAAATTTCACACCGTTAAAAAAATTTCATTTTCACTTTCACTTAGCTACATCATTAATGCACGCCATTTTCGATCGCACTGTTTTGCTGTCGCTGTTGTTAATGGATGCCTCACAATCTGCATAATACTGTTTGGCATCAATCATTTACAGCACAAAGTATGCATGTCATTCCTGAATCATTTGACCAACTGATAACATTTGTTATCAATAGGTGATATTATAGTTTCGGTGTGACTGATTTATATATTTTAAGTCTGACAAAATATAACTAAGAGATGAAATTGAAATAGCTGACACAAAATTAACGCATATTCTAAGGGATAGTTCAGGTATTACGATCAATATTTGTAATCAAATGATGATTGATTAAGCTCGTAAATTCAGCTGATTACAAAGTATAGTTACCTAAACTTTTGAATTTCAAGCCTTATGATGTTCAGTAATCTGTAATTCTCTTAGCAATCACCTGTTTCATAAGAAAAGAGCGAAACACAAGATATGCATCAATTTGTCTCATTCATACAGTCATAAATACAGTATTCTGATTGGTTACTTGTATGAGAGACAATCGGTTGATTTGATTGGCAGACACGAAACTGTTTTCTGATTGAATGGTTTTTCTGAAGTTCAATCCTTGTATTGACTAGAAGAAATGGATTTTATGACAAGTAAAACAATCACAATCTAACCTGTTGAAATTAGTTGTCAGATTTTAATTAAATTATTACTTGATCAATCATTCATTCTAAATGTACTGTATATTTTTAAAATTAAATTGGTTGTAACCTGCATAAACATAAGACCGTCAATAATCTTTGTGAAATTGGCTAAAATTTATTTACTTATCCACACACACACAATTATGGCAGTTGAATATCGTTTAATTTCATTTCTGCTAATTATCGCATTATGGATTTATATTTTTCATGAATTAAAATATTCATCAATGATTATATTAGATTGTAAATTTGATCTATCTTGTGAATATAAAACAAAAGTAAGTAAATTTTTGTTGGCAGTAAAACAAACTTCTTTTGTTAAAACTTATATAAATATATATAATTGTGCGGTAGTTTACTCGAAAAGATTTCGATTATTCTAGATTAAGTATTGTTTACAAAAGGTTGTTTTCATTAGGATAGGATAAGAAGTAAGATCACATTTTTACACAATGCAGTCCATGTTCAATAGTATTTTCGTTTTGAATTCAATGTAATCGATTGTTTTGTACATAATTCGTATTATTTCGATGTGACATTTATTTCATATAATATTTGATACTCTCGTTATTATTTTAATGTGAACTTCATTCATTAAAACATACGTAATATGTCTGTTGCAATTCTGTGTACTAATATACTTCTGTGTCGTATTTCATCTAAATCGGTTCTATGTATGTAATATTCATTGACTAATCATCATATATATAGAGAGTATGTTGATTAATGTGGTGAATGTCAATTATCCTGGTGGATAAAATAAATCTTTATTTGGTATTACAGTTTTATGCATTTATTGTTCAATACGTTGTTTCAGTAAATTACATTGATTGTTCTGTTTCAATGATCAATTTTTCATAGTTAAAAAACAGTTTCCTATCATATTATTAATAATTATGATCGATATGTATATTAAAATATAAATTTAAATTATCATGCACACGACTCAATAAGCAATTCGTACTTCATCCTTTCTGCTTTGTACTGTACATCTGGTAGATGCCGATTTGCATTCATGATGATTACCATTTGTATTCTGTTCAATAATCAATAATGTCATATAGGTTTGGCTGTTCATTAAATAGGTTTTGTTTGATTGTTTAGATAATAAAAATTGAAACATCTTGAGATGGTGGAGAAAATTTGTAGGTCAGGTGGATGATGAGCTACGTCTACTTGCAACAATTTGAATCCTGTTTAATTAACTATTTTTACTATTAATAACATTTTACAGATATTCAGATAGTTTGAAGGAAATAGAGATTTCAGTGTTGTGTTGTGTTGTGTTGTGTTGTGCAGTGTCATTTACTTACATAAGTGCAAAAATATCCTATAAAACTAATACTAAATAATAATGTACTGTCATAAATTTATTATATTCCCAATGAATATTAATATGTAGAAAACTGTCTTAGTTCAACTGCAGTCTGTAATACTGTGTAATTTTATGTGATATTTGAAACAGGCCAATAATTTCTATAATTCAAAATTGTCATCACTCATTTTCATCCTTATTATTAATCAAGCATAAATACAGTTTCAACAATTTCTCATCATAATGGACTACTATTGACTTGCATAATATGGAATCAAAATTTAAAATAATGTAGAATAATTTCTATTTCATGATACAGTCCTATGACAAAACAATGATAAACTCATATAACATTGCTGGTCGACTGGAGAATGTCAATGCAAGTTTGGTAGCGTTGAATGTTCTATTAATTACTCTTATTAATCTGTCCTGCAGAGTATCGCAGGCAACATCTCCATTGAATAATTGGTAGAACATTCAACGCTGACAAACTTGCATTGACATTCTCGAGTCGACCAGCGATGTCTACCCGAACGAAGGATAAGTTAACTGAGTTGGCCTCTTCTATGTGCATTTACAAATTCAGCTGCTCCTGTGGAGATATCGGGCGTACTTCCAGGCAACTTACCCTACGAATGAGTGAACATCTCCCAGCATGGTTTACGAAGAGTCAGTCAAAAACAATACGCAATTCTATCTTAACACACCTGGTAGATAGTGGTCACATTGTAGATAAATCTGGATCTTTTCGGGTGATCTATCATATACCTCCATCATTTCCCAACGGAGTTCGATCCCGTCTCCTACACATTGCAGAAGCCATAGGAATACGTACATTCAACCCTAATTTATGTGTTCAGAAGAAATTCGTGACACCCATATCCTTTCCGTGGCCGGATATGACGTAACTAATGATTTATGTTGTCTTTTTATTTTTACCACATTTGCTTATTACGTAATGGTTTTGATGTTTTTGATGATTATTTGAATTCTATTCATCTACGTTAAACTCATATAAATGAAATATTCTACACTTAGTCTTATAAAAAAAACTTATCATCAAAGTCATGTCATATTTATGAATAGAATTCATCAATCGACACTATAGTGATAAAAACATCCATTTATCATCTGACCAAGATGAATTATCAATCAACAATAATGAATTCTAACGACCGAAATTATACTTTCATGACAAATTCAATATAAATCGGTATGAAATTTAAATAATCGGATGTAGTAAACAAATTAACTCAGTTATAATCTATGCTCAAACAACTGTAAGAATAACTATATACTCCCTGTGAATATACAAACAAACTTAATGGAATGCAAAACTAAAGAGTTTGAATTCTTTAATTTGTGACTCAGTTATATGGCCCGGAAAATAGTGTGTATGTCTATCTCTTCGTGCCTAGTGCATACGCATTACTTGTTCAATAATTTCTGACGTCGCACGACAGCGAATTCATCTCCATGATAATATAGTATGCAAATTAAGAAGCAGAAAGTTATAAAATGAAATATGACCTACTTATTTACTTACACTTATTACCCCTAACATAAAATAAGTCATCGACCACCATTATCCAACCTACTCTGTTACGCACTCTCCTTTCTAGCTATTCTTAATCGCTATTCTTTCTTCTAATGTCTGTCTCCGCTTCTAGGCATAATATGTTCTTCGGTCTTCCTCTTTCATTTTGGAGTTGACGATTCCATGTGAAGGATCGTCTTGTGATACAGTCGGCTTCAATCCTCGAAATGTATCCTATCCACTTCCAGTGCATGCTCCTCTGCTTGAATATGGTTGGTTTTATCTCAAAGTGGGTTGTTGCCTGTTCAGAGAATCCGAAGCATTTTAAGTAGACAACTGGTCATGAACACTTGCATCTTCCGGATGATGGATTTCGTAATTCTCCAAGTTTCTGCCTCATACAGTAGAACTGTCTTGACATTTGTATTGAAAATTCTGACTGTGATGTTAGTTGATAATTGTTTTGAGTTGCAGATGTTCATCAATTGTAGAAATGCTTACCTTCCTTTACGATCCGCTCTTTCACATCTGCATCGGATTCACCATGTTCATCAATGACGCTTCCCAAATATGTAAAGTGTTTTACATCATCCAAAGCTTCGACGTCACAGGTGACTTGGTTTGTGTATGTTGTGTTGATTCGAAGAATCTTGTTTCCCTCATGTGAATGTTGACACCTACTGCAGCAGAGGTTGCTAATTCACTTGTCGTCTTTCTTTGCATTTGTTGTTGCATGTGGGATAAAGAAGCCAGATCATCTGTGATGTGCAGATAGTTGTTCAGCTGCATCCTAATTGTCCACTGTACGGCAGGCTCCCCCTGAGGTGTTCATGTATTCATAATGCAGTTAGACACCAGAAGAAAGAGAAAGGGTGAGAGTAAACAACATTGTTTGACACCAGTCTTTACTTAGAACCAGTTCGTGAACTGTCCTCCGTGCCTGATCCTGCAGTTAAATGAGAATTCCGTATGATTTTGACCGTCTTCCCAGACACACCATTGTTTTGAAGAAGCCTCCATAGTGTCATTTTGTACGCGCTGTAGAATGCTTTCTCTTCGTCAAGGAAGTTGACATACAACAGTGAGTCCTATTCAATTGATTGTTTCAAGATGATCCGTAGTGTGTCAGTTTGGGCGGTATGTGAACTATCTTTACGAAATGCAGCCCGTTGAATTTGAAGATGGACGTCTACTCAATCTTACATTCGCTTCAACAAAGCTGATAAAAGGTCCGGCTTGTGTAGTTCTCACCTTTACTAAGATCATTCCTTAGTTTCTTGATGAGATATCCATCTCGTCAGTCTGTTAACACTTGCTTTTTCATCCAAGTCTTCAATGTCGATGATTGGTTTGCCTTCCTTGACTTCTTATCATATTAGTTCATTAAAGGCTGAATAAGTAAGAATCAATGCATACAAATTCCAGTGCATGTTAGTTTACCATTTACCTAATAATCTATGTGTTTCAATCTATAGATTTGCATAGTAAAGCTTACATTATTCATGTTGTTATTTTCATAGCAAAAACACCGGTACAAGTCGTTACAGTCAAGAGTAAATACAATCAATGTCAACTAACTCAGGTTTATTTTTTTTATCAAAGTAGGAAATGTTATTGGAATGCTAAATACTAGGTCGACGCCTATTATCATTACTATCAAAACAATTTCTTTGAATCAATTATGTACAAACGATCACTTATTGGATAATTTCATTGATTATTTGCATTGATTAATTCATGAAAACATACAATTTATATCATTCATTCATGTGGTATATCACTTTGTTTTGAATAAGACTTGAACTCTCAATTATTTTTTTCTTTTGTTATTTTGCGTTTGCGTTATCCTATTCTAAAATATTGATTCATAACTTTTTATTCAATAAAATAAGTAGTTTCGAAATTGTAGCTATTGGTGACTAGTTTCGTTTTTGAGTATTATTATATAAGATAGGTATTCTTCCGAATTTCACATCTCATTCGAAATAGGAAGGCCAATAATGTACAATGTACCTGACCTATTGTTGCAAACGTTGTCACAGACATTGAGAACGAGTTGTTGACTACGTTGTATCTGGAAGCTGTATAACTGCTGGAGGCATTAAAGATCGCAATCGGCGAATATGAAATTGCTACATATTGCCATTTTGTGGTTTGTTATTTGCATTTGCAAAAGAATCAGACGCTAGAGATTAAATTTTTGTGCAAAGCCAACCTTGATTCGGACAGTATTTAGATTTCAGCAGGTTTGTCCACTGCAATACAAGTGAGGCTTCGTAAAATGCCTGTTCAATAGGGAACCAAGAATCTGGAACACGGACAGATTTGAAGGCGATGCAAAACTCTTCACTGAAACATTGATCTCAAACGGTTATCTGTTGAAGTTCATCAATAAGTGTGGAAATCAGTTACGACGAAATCCTGATTTTCATTCTGCGGCAGAGAAAAATGTTTATATCATTTTACAGTTTAGAGGTGAATCAAATGGTCTAATCTTAAGACAGTGACCAAACGCAGACATAGAGAAAGCATACTACACTGCTATACTAATTGGAATTGAAAAGACTAAACCCATGATCGTACATAGGAATAAATATAACTCGAAGATCACATCACATCCAATTGCATTTATCGATTTACATGTTTGAGTGAAGACGTATACATTGGGAGGAGTAATCAATCAAGCATCATGGAACATGTTCCTAAGTGGCCTCAAAATCACTTAACTTCAGATAAGCCGATAAACGTGGGAGACAGAAAACCATGTTCATCGATCGCAAAACACGTCATCGATACAGGGTATACGATAGACATCAAAACAACCTTCAAAACATTGTATAGAAATGTTGAAGGACGAATTTTGAAGTTTTTGGAAGCCGTGGCTACACGTAAATTAAAAAAACACCCCATTTGTGTACAGAAACAATTTGTTATAACCTTGAATTTACCCTGGTGATCTTCAAGCCATTGTATGGCCTTGTGTAATGTGACAATTTCCCACCCTTTCTTATTCTTATTATAATATGTTAATTTTCTCTCTCCTTCATTTGCAATGATCACCTTAGGTATCTTTGAACTTTTATTTAATTGACCATTCATTAATGTTCTCATAAAATGACTTGAAAAGAATAGGTGTGTGTGGACAGATTGTTCGAAATGTATAGGGCAAGACATCACATTTTTCAGATCAATTAGACCTTCTCATTGTCCTATTAAAAATTTCTAAAACGGACTAATTGTTTTAAAACTGAACGAACTAAACTACACACCATAACTATACTTACTATATTTACAGAGAATGATCACGGCATTTTTACATACAATAAAATTTCTGTGCCTAGACATATAAACACAAATTTTGAACTACTAGTTGAACAGTCACTAATCTTTCATTCTTCTAGTACCACACTAAACATTTCGTCACAGGATGTCAAGATTCTGAATAAACGTAAGAAAATTATCAGCCCATTTCTGACACAAAATTACATATTCAAGGGTGAACAGTATTTCGACTACTAAACTAAAAAACTGAATAATTCTCAACGGAAAACCAATGATACACAGTCTCCTATTTAGTGACCAATCAATTCTAAAGTGTAGACAATATTTCTGCACATGATACTTTCATTCTTTTCAATGGTCGGATTACCGGTGTAAACAAACATACAACCACTTTCGTAAAAATACTTTCAATATCTAGATTATTCATATTTCATGTGCTTTTAGTGATATGATGAAATCTATGAACGCATAATATGAGCATTTAATACTCCTCAAAATTATTGACTGACCTTCGAAATTGTTAATTTCACAATTGTATTTGTATATATCACAACCTTAATTAGGTTACCATAGTTACTTGTGATAATAGGACAAATTGTTTATTGAACTATAGTTTAATTTTGATCTTGTTTCAGTGTTAAATCTTGAGAAACAATTATAGTCTCAGAATGAAAGCAAACGACTAAGTACGTAGTTTAAACATCAGTTACACCATGAATAATTGTGTTATATATCCGATTGAAGATTGAAGTAACAGTGAACTAGAGAATCGATTCATGGCTTATTATTATTATTATTATTGTACATAGTCTCATGATCATATTTATATATTCTTTTCCATTAACGCACAAACTATCCCTACACGTCTAGCTGCTCTTTTTTTGTTATCAGTTTATAATTTACAGTCTTATGTATAATTGTGATCTGTCATTTATTGGTGTGATGTCATCGAGTATATCGATATGCACAACACCCATGTTTGAAATATATTATAAATTCAGTGGAGGCTGATTACTTTTTTCTGGACTCACTAGGTTAACTAGAGAGCGAACTCTCAATCGATAGGATTCTAGCTTCTTTATCAGTCCATTTTGTGCAGAATCGTATTATGGTTTGTATTTCTATCAAGTACAATTACTAAGGCTTCAAAATTGTCAACGGGAATATCACGGTGTCAAAATTCGAATTTTTCTGCCCCCTAGAATCTGGCTTATATGATTGGTTATGTGGTTGTTCTCTTATGTGAATTATTAAGCCAATGAATTTGTTTTTGTTTTGGGGATTGAAGTTAGAGACCGTTGACTAGACTGAATGTTAGTTGAATGAGCAGCAGTTACAAATGTTATGTATATAGGATGAAAGCAAATCGTCAGCAATCAACGCCAATCTCATTTAACGAGACCTACAAAATGCTAATATTGTGGCGAATAGCAGTTACCTAAAACTTGTCATTATTAAAATCCCTGATCCAATATATGCTATAAATTCGGTCGCAATCAGACTTCCTGTAGATAACGGAATTATTGAAAATACAAATCACCAATATAGTTTCTCCCTAATCACAGAAAGTATATTCTTAGTATATCTTTAGCATTTACGTGCAGTTTATCTGACAGAAGCAAATGTTCAGACCTATTAATTAATGCGATTGAAATTCGCTTATAAATGGATACAGAATTCGCGAACACATTTATTTCTAGAAAGACGTTGGAAACTAATGGGTCGTCCTTTCGTGCTACCTACGGAATATAAAGCTCGCAATGCATTTGAAAATATCCTAGAACTCATCCAAATGACTGAATGTGTTGTTAAATGTCCTTTTGCTAGGACTTGTTATTTATCAGATAGACATGGTTTAAATCTTACTGGTATGAGATTGATTAACTAGATCTCCTGAATATTCCATCGGATAAATTTATAGCACCAAATGATTCCTGCATTTTCACTAACTCACCCGTTGTGAATGTAAAATCCAAAGTCACTGTTTTTGAAAACCAGTTAAATGTGGTCCAGAGGAACCTAGTACTTACTAAACTATTGCCAATTGGTTTTTAGTTAAAGAAAAAAAAAGTGTGAATTCTTGTTTGATACCATGAATATGTATTTGATAATGATAGTTCAGACTGACGACACATCTTATCATGCTTCGTTCATTTCTGTGAATGATTGGACACTATAGTATGTTAACCCTTAACGTGCGTATGTTGGTTAACGCAGAGTGGAAATGGAAGCAAATCTTATCGTCTAAACTATTCGTCACCCATTTCAATCATAAAGTTGGATTATTTACGCTCATTGATGCTTCTTCCTAATCACTCTATTGGAAGACGATTTACCCATTCATCAATTGACTTGTTACCTCAACCTAGTTTCTTACATTAAGTCTCAAGATTGGTCTCTCGATTGTTACGTGGTACGCAAGTAATGTTTCGAAAATACGAATAATCAAAACATACTTATAGCCCACACGTATCCTCTGCTTTCAATGAAGACAGTCTGATTTTCCGAACAGAAAATGATTAATCTTGGATAAACAAAAATCGATAAAAAAGCAACGGATAAGTAGACTGTGAGACTGAATTTCTGTTATGTAATTGTTTTTTAACCATGTGTTGGTAGAAAATATGTTCGTATCTGTGATATGTGGCTAGAGAAAATAAAAAAAAATACGATTTGCCACTGATTAAAGACAGTTTTACTAAACATTTATTTGATAATTTTCATCTTGGTAGCGGATTTATACTTTGTAGTCATTAAGAAGTACAAAAATTGTTAGTGATTATATTACATAAAGTATATTTCTAGTCTTTATCAATGATTCTTTGAATTCGGTAGTGAGTCATGCGCTTGGTGTAGATGTGAATATCACTAGAGGTTATGGATAGAAACAGTCAAAGGTAAGTGATTCATCGACAAACCAACACACCTAGTCCATGAGAAATTCGCTAATCATTTTTTGTTAATTTTGCTACCAACAAACTCAAACTTAATAGAACGGAAAGTAACTTTGATGGTTTGGAAATCGAAAACGTTTGCATTAATTAACATCGAATCATAAAGTACTTTGTGTTTGACAGAAACTGAGGTGAGGTCGCGCAAAGTCCGTAGATCAATCAGAGTTATATATTACCACCGTTGGATGCCGACCCAGTGGTCCGATGGTTAGGCGTTTGCTCACAATACCGAAGGTCCCAGGTTCTAATTCTGAGAATTGCAGGAGTTGTGGATGCGCACTGCTGATGAGTCCCATAGCAGGACGAAACGGCCGTCCAGTGCTTCCAGATTTCTTTCTAATGGTGGTCTGACAATGATTGATTGATGATTTCAAATGTGTAAAAACACAAACCGTCAAAACTCTGCCAGAAACTGAATGTTCGATTATGATTAGTGGTAATCAATTAACATTGAATTCAATTTTTTTTCCATCAATGACTATAACATTTGATGAGTAATGCGCTAATGATCTAAACATGTTATGCTTAACAATTTTCAAGATCAATGAGAAATAAAGAGTGGAGCACAGTTGAAATATTACTCAGGATAAAATCTGTTACTCATAGATCTCTAGTACAATAGTTTTCCCTTTCAACTTCAACTACTGTACTAACCCGAATCGTATTTTATGGATGACTCATTGTTTTATTACTCGATTGCTTGCATTGGTAGTGAATAATCATTAAAACTTTAGAATCAATTAAGAATTTAAGAGTCTTCGTGAGTGGGTACATCAAATGTTGACTGATTTTTATTTTATTTGACATTAGTATGTGACTTTAATCAAATTAGTTATTAAAAACTATAAGGCATTGAACAACTATTTCATAGAACTACTACTACTCCTCACGAAATGTTTGTTTACAATTCAGCCAACTGTTCAATGCTTTCAAATTTTTCAATCATTTCGTAATGTAAACTGTAAAACACATATCGTATATACATGAATAAATTTTATTTCTTGTTTATTTTAGCTTTTATACAAACCTTATTATGATTTTGACAATAAGTCCATACATATCGCAATGCTATTAGCTGGTGGAATTGACAATTGTCATCAAGCTGAAACACTCATTAAATCAATTTTATTCACTCAAAAACGATGGTATCCATCAAAAGATGATTGTTGTAATTTTAAACATTTTGCACAATTCCATTCAGATTGGTCAACAGCAATTGATCGTGTACAAAAACGCAAACGTTTCTACATTGTATTTCATTTTATTGTTGATGAATTAGCCTATGAATTTATGCATTCATTAATGTCGGATTGGGATTTAGAAGGCATCAATGTACAGTTTTATTCAATTAGAAATTATGAAGTAAGTAAATTGATGAACATGATTTAATCTATTGTGGTTAACTAGTTGAACTCATCAAGTCTCGCCATGTGTATAATGTAATTTTTCGACAATGACATAATTTCTTTACACATTTTTGAAACCATGAATCGATCAATGTTAGACCAACATTAGAAACCTGGAAGCACTGGACGGACGTTTCATCCTGGTATGAGACTCCTCAGCAGTGCGCATCCACGACTCATGCACCCCGTAGGATTCGAACCCAAGGCCTTCGTTATTGTGCGCGAACGCCTAACCATCAGACCACTGAGCCGGTATCTAACAGTGTTAATGTCTAACTTCGATCAATTCACGGAGTTGCGCAACCTCATAATTCTTTTTGATGATTTATCCAATGAGTTTCAGCATAAATGAGTTTTACTGAGACGATTCTCGTGAGTAAATAATTATTAGCGCATGAAAACAAGTGGTCAATTTGACCAAAGGTCCTAAGTACACAGTTGAGAGATATATGAAACTGAATTTGTCTGAAGAACAGTTCTATTATCAAGTACATCTAGAGAAATAGCTTTGAAGAAAAGTTTTGAGGTTTTTAGGTTAATATAAAAGAATCTATTATACTATAATGTAGTAAAGATGGAAGCGTCTACAATGCAGTCATACACACACAATAAATATTCGTAGCATAAAATGTTAAGAACCGCTTTTGTGTTTGGCTCAAGTTTTATCGAAAGCATCATACTGTTAGCATTGTCTTGAATAAAAAGACGATTTTGTCACCTCTGAATGTAAAAATTTATTAAAAAATGACAACTCGATACATATTTAATGAGTGCATATTACTTATATTCGGATAACACGACAGCTATGCCAGAATACTTATGAAGTTACTTACAGAGTTAGAAAAGTATCCAAATCGAAGAGGATTCCCTGTCATAGGGATAAATATTTGAACCAATCTCATCTTCGTTAGATACATATGCCTGCAAAATAGTTGTTACTATTTAGAATAAAGTTTCTAATTGAGTCTATCTGTGCGTTTATTCAGTGATAATTATCATAAAACAATCACTGTTATGTATGAGTCACATGGTGTTTAGTAGTTTTCCAAAATAATTTTAAACGTCTCAACATACGCATGAGAGAAGCAAGATTTCCCGATACAACAGAACATGCACAAACCAAATCAACTTTGATGTCGAAGCTTTGGATCATTTGAAACCCTTTACATATTTGGGCAGCATCATTGATGAACACGGTGGGTCCGATGCAGATGTGAAAGCGCGGATCGTAAAGCAAGGGAACTTTACTTTACTTACGCCTGTCACCTCCAATGGAGCATAGGCCGCTCACCAGTTTTCTCCAACCAACTCTGTCCTGGGCTTCCCTCTCCAGTTCTGTCCAATGTTTATTCATTCCTCTCATATCCTTCTCTATTTCTCGGCGTAATGTGTTCCTTGGCCTTCCTCTTTTCCTTTTGCCTTGAGGTATCCATGTGAGCGCTTGTCTCGTGACGCAGTTAGGTGCTTTTTGTAGTGTGTGTCCTATCCACTTCCACCGCTTCTTCCTGATTTCCTCCTCCACTGGAATCTGACTTGTTCTCTCCCACAGTTCGTTGTTGCTGATGGTGTCTGGCCAACGAATCCGAAGTATTTTGCGTAGACAACTGTTCATAAACACTTGTATCTTCTGGATGATGGCTTTGGTTATTCGCCATGTTTCCGCTCCATACAGTAGAACTGTCTTGACATTTGTATTGAAAATCCTGATTTTAGTTTTCGTTGAAAGTTGTTTGGATTTCCAGATATTTTTCAACTGTAGAAATGCAGCCCCTGCTTTGCCGATCCGCGCCCTCACATCTGCATCGGACCCAGCTTTCTCGTCGATGATGCTGCCCAGATATGTGAAGATGTTAACGTCCTCCAAGGTATCTCCATCAAGCGTGATTCGGTTGGTGCATGTTGTGTTGCATCGGAGAATTTTGCTTTTTCCTTTATGTATGTTGAGACCTACTGCTGCAGAGGCTGCTGCTACACTGGTCGTCTTCTCTTGCATTTGTTGTTGCGTGTGCGATAGAAGAGCCAAGTCATTTGCGAAGTCCAAACCGTCCAGCTGCATCCTAGCTGTCCATTGGATACCATGCTTTCCTCCAAAAGTTGACGTCTTCATAATCCACTCGATGACCAGGAGAAAGAGAAAGGGTGAGAGTAAGCAACCTTGCCTGACACTGGTCTTCACCTCAAAAGAGTATGTCAGCTGACGTCCGTGCACGATTTTGCAGTTGAATCCATCATAAGAATTCCGTATGATGTTGACTATTTTCTCAGGCACACCGTAGTGTCGAAGAAGCCTCCACAGTGTTTTCCTATCCACGCTATCGAATGCTTTCTCGTAGTCGATGAAGTTGATGTAGAGTGGTGAGTTCCATTCAATTGATTGTTCCACAATGATCCGTAATGTAGCAATTTGGACAGTACACGATCGATCCTTACGAAATCCGGCCTGTTGATCTCGAAGTTGGGTGTCTACGAAGTCCTTCATTCTGTTTAACAATACTCTGTTGAAGACTTTGCCTGGTATTGAAAGAAGAGTGATGCCTCTGTAGTTCTCACACTTGCTCAGGTCGCCTTTCTTTGGTATTTTGATCAGGTATCCTTCTTTCCAATCTGATGGTACTTGTTCCTCATCCCAAATCTTGTTGAAGAGAATGTGAAATATTTTCGCAGTCGCTTCTATATCTGCTGTCATTGCCTCTGCTGGAATGTTGTCTGGTCCTGCTGCTTTGCCGCTCTTGATTTGTCTGATGGCTATACTGATCTCCTCAATCGTAGGTGCGCCAATATTAATTGGGAGGTCCTTGGATGCTGCTTCGATGTTGGGTGGGTTCAGTGGAGCTGGTCGATTCAATAGTTCCTTAAAGTGCTCTACCCACCTATTTCGCTGTTGTTCAGTGTTGCTGATTATTTTCCCTTCCTTACTTTTCACTGGTCGTTCTGGTTTACGATAGTTCCCGGCGAGCTTCTTTGTTGTTTCGTACAATTGTCTCAAGTTTCCTTCTCTTGCAACCTTTTCCGCCGTCATTGGTAGATCTTCCACATATTTTCGTTTGTCAGCTCTGATGCTCTTCTTCACTTCCCTGTTTGCTTCTGTGTATGCAGCTTGTGCCTTAACTTTCTCTGCTCTTGTTCGACTGACATTGATTGCTGCGTTCTTGTTCCTCCTTTCTTCAATTTTTGCAAGAGTACCAACAGACATGCATTCCTTGTGATGGTGTTTCTTATGACCCAGAACCTCGTGACATGTTGAAGTGATTGCCTCCTTAATCCCTTTCCAATTGTTCTCCAATGTTGCTTCCTCTCCATTGAGTAGATCCTGAAAGGCCTGGAACCTATTGGTGAGGGCTATCTTGAATTCGTTGAGTTTTACGGTATCCCGAAGAAAGGCTGTATTAAACTTCTGTGATGTTGTCTGCCCCATTGTCCAGTGCTTATTTAGCTTCAGTTTCATTTTGGCGACCAGCAAATGGTGATCTGAAGCTATATCAGCTCCTCTCTTGGTTCTCACATCCTCCATGGTCCTTCTGAACTTTTTGTTGATACAGATATGGTCAATTTGGTTTTGAGTAGTGTGGTCCGGTGAAATCCATGTGGCTTTGTGAATGCGTTTGTTCGGGAATATTGTGCCACCGATGACCAGTTTGTTGAAGGCACATAGGTTTGCGAATCTCTCACCGTTTTCGTTCCTTTCTCCTAGTCCATGTCGTCCCATGATGTCTTCATATCCAGTGTTGTCCATTCCAACCTTGGCATTCAGGTCTCCCATAAGAATCGTCAAATCCTTTGGTGAACATTTATCGACGATTGACTGCAGCCTTTCGTAGAATTGATCTTTATCGTAGTCATTGTAGTCATTGGTAGGTGCATAACATTGGATGACGTTTATTGTAATGTCCTCTTTCTTTGTTTTGAAGGATGCTTTAATGATCCTGGGTCCATGAGATTCCCATCCTATTAGCGCCTTTTGTGCATGTATGGACAGCATCAGTGCAACTCCTTGTGTATGTGAAGCATTTTCCTCTTCATGACCAGAGTATAACAGCAGTTCCCCTGAAGCATGTCTCAGTTGTCCTACGTGTGTCCAATGTGTTTCACTGATGCCGAGCACCTCGAGGTTGTATCTTTTCATTTCTGCCGCAACTTGAAATAGTCTTCCAGTCTCCCACAATGTACGAACGTTCCATGTACCTAAAAAAATGGTTGCTCTGGTTGTCAGAAGAGGCATCAGCCCCGTGACTTCCGAGGGAACTCGGCTTTCATCACGCGACGTCATAATTCTTCTTCCAACATCCAGGGCAGAGTCAAAATGGTTTGAATTATTTTTTCTGGTTAGCGTTTTTTTGGCAAGTTAGATTTCAACGGAATGGGGTCGCCAACCCCATGTCCAACCCTCCTCCTTTATCCGGGCTTGGGACCGGCAGTAGCCCCTAAGGTTCTACTGGCGGAGTTAAAGCAAGGGAAGCATTTCTACAATTAATGAACATCTGCAACTCAAAACAATTATCAACCAACACCACAGTCAGAATTTTCAATACAAATGTCAAGACAGTTCTACTGTATGAGGCAGAAACTTGGTGAACTACGGAATATATCATCCGGAAGATACAAGTGCTTATTAACAGTTGTCTACGCAAAATACTTCGGATTCTTTGGCCAGACACTATCAGCAACAACCTACTGTGGTATAGAACAAACCATATTCTAGCAGAGGAGCAAGCAGTGGAAGTGGATAGGACACATTTCGATGAGAGCAGCGGACTGTATCACAAGATGATCCTTCACTTGGAATCGTCAACTCCAAAGAAATAGAAGAAGATGGAAGAATATATTACGCCGAGAAACGGAGAGAGACATTAAAAGAATGAATAGCGATTGAGAATAACTAGAAAGAAGACTCCGGAACTGAGTAGGTTGGAAAATGGTGGTCGACAGCCAATGCTTCATAAGTGGTCATGGGCAGAAGTAAGAAAAAATCGTACAGTGTGCTCACTAGTGATCAGTTTCGTGAGGAAATTCTCGGATTAATAGTGAGAGGACGTGACCAGTGGAGTTCAACCCTGTCAGGTGTAGGCACTAACTACCAAAGGTATATAGGCGACCTTGTGCATAATATCTAGATTGATCAGAATTACATAATAACACCGTTGGATACCGACCTGGTAGTCCGGAGATTAAGCATTTGTGCGCAAGACCCCAGGTCCTAGGTTTGACTCCCTCGAGTGGGAGTTGTGGATGCGCACTCTTGATGAGTTCCATACCAGGATGGGACGGCCGTCCAGTGCTTCCAGGTTTCTAATGACAGTCTAACAATGAGTGATTGATGATTTTAATGTGTAATAGTTAAATAAGTTTTTTCTCAGTAGGTTTTCAAAGATCAATAATCATAACATCACCTACTAAACGTCAATACATAGTACAAATGATACATACAAAACACAAGCAAGTATGAAATAAAATGTATGATGTTTCATCGATGTACGTTTATGTTTGGATGAACCGAACTAATTTTTAGTACTTATTTTGATGATTATTGTTTCAAAATACACAGAGATTACTATTATGATTATTAATTTTTTTTTAACAGGCGCGGATCAAATCATTTAGATCTGGACACTACTCTGGACATAAAAGTTATCTCAAGTTGTTGATTACACAAATTTTACCGAATGAAATCAAAAAAGTAAGTAACATAGCAGTTGTTAACCAATTATTTGAGATTTTTGCTTCTTCAGAATAGACAAAAATTGTTAGTATACAGAATTGTGAAGATATACAAGTCCTCTCCGTCGTTTCTGTCATTTGATTATTGTGTCAAATCAGTTCGACCGTTATTGTGTTCTTTAAATCCAAAGATTCATAAAGTCTAACAATGAACATTAGAAACAATTAGATAAAGGTCTGCTGTATTAATGGCCTTGATTAAACCAGTTAGAATCAATAATCCCTCATGGATTTTGTGCTAAACCATATGTGCACTGAAAAATAACTCATATATTGCCATGATCATTAAAAATTTCCAATAACTGGTTCTTAACAGTGCTTGATACTGATATCTATCCACAGCTAGGTACAATCATCAATATGAGTTGGTCTTCTAGTCCGAAATTGACCACTTCCGGTCATACACTCCAACAAACGATCAGTGTCATATCTTAACGATCGAGGAAGTAAATTCTGATGTCGTCTGAGCCTGATTTGGTTATCGTAATAAGTGAACCACTTTAGTGCTTCATTAGATGGTAGCTTCATTCTATGTTCTCATTAATGTAAGTTAACAAATTCGTTCCTATTCCAAATAAGTCACTTTGTGTTCTAGTTACTTAAAAAAAATAATAGCTACTTGGGGCTCCAATGTTTTTGACTATTAGCATTCTGTCGATAGTTTAAGAAGCAATTTCTTATCATCAAACCTATTAGAAAGAAAACATGAAAATCTTAATAGCAACTATCAAGATTAGTTAGTATTTATTTAGAATAGATGGATTTTGGCTGACAGTAAAACTCAGAAAATGCACTTCATCCTACTTTGAACTAGTCAATTAGATGACTCTACATTCATATCAGTGTTCATTCTGATAGTCAAATCCGTTTCCTTCCACTGAAAATGCTTAATGCCATCCATTTCAGCTGAGCTCAATGAAGGTAGCGGTCAACTAATAAGACTAGATTCTATGTCAATCCTGAATATCAATGACGAGTCAGCTTAATAAACTCTTACTAAAAATGATATAAGTACTTATTTTTGATGCTTAGAAGATTATCACATATTTTATATTGATTGTTTTTCATAGTTTTGAGTGTAAAAGTTTCCAGGTGTTCGTTCGTAAAATGGAAGGTTCAGTGTTCTGTTTTCTTGACTCTGAATTATTATCAAAACTTAGTAAAATAAATTAGTAAGTTAGCTAGACGTAACTCATTAATAAACCACTTACAAACATACAAAACCAGAGAAATAATGCTTTACTAAAACCTATCATCTTCTAGAAATATATAAAATGTAAATCGATTAACATTTTTTGCTCGAAAAATTGATTTTACTGGGTACAGCATGGAAAGTACGCCACACTGTTTTCATTGAAGCTGAAATTACCACAATTTGCACTAAGTTAGTTATGAGCAAACAATGCATATGACAGTTGTTTTATAAATTATTCGGTAAAAACTGAAGAAACTAAACTATCACATTTGACATGTCTTTGATGATGCAGCTGGTTGCAGGTAATAAATATATAGGAAACTTAAAAACCTATGTTTTATTCTGATTGGTACTGGTTAGCAATGTATCACTCAAAGCTTAAAGGGACCACTATTCTCTGGCAGACTCGACACCGTTTCATCTAGCTTCACAGTCGTTGAAGTTATCCGGCCTGTGACTGACACCTTGTTGTAAGGCTGAGATGAATTGACAGTTCATCGATCATTGAGTACTAACCGAAATCATATGCGTTAAGTCCTACTCAAAGCAAATCGGATTCTATCGATCTAATTGCAATGGGGACACCAGTGCAAGTAACTCGATATCAATCAATGTCAGATGTCGTCCTAGGCGTACCCATCACAATTCAATCCAATCATTTAATTTTAAGTAGAAGAAATATTGGTTGAATGGATTACTTGAAAATTAGTCACACAAAACGAAGTAACACTAATATATGAAATTGGAGGAGAAAGAATATTACACCGTAGTGAACGAGAACACAGGTGGGGCAACCGGATTGTATTTAACGAAAGTTACAGAGTTACTCAGTAAAATCGGAAAACCATATCGTAATTCGTTAATTTGCAAAATATCAGTCCATCCTATGGAACTGGACTGTTCCTGTTGCCAAACATCAATCCATTGTCACTATTCATGCATTTCATACAAATTCCATGGTTTTCTAACTCTTCCTTTCTTGATCTTCCCCCATCTTCTGCTGCCAGACATTACGTTGGCACTCACATCATATACTACTTATAAGTAGCTCGCACCACAACACTATCAGTTAACAAATTTTCCAAAAAAAAGCATAACTTGACTAAGAACACAACCAAAATAGATTTCACTTGGTTATACAAGAAGGCTTATTATCATTAGTAGTAAATATATCAGGAGACTACAGTGAACTTCCATGATGAGTTCCGTTGTGAAACCTGTTTGATATATATCTTAAACAAATATCAGCTGGAATTTTTATGAAATACCATTCCACCAGGACAAATGACGAATCAATAGCTGTCAACTTAAGAGAAGCATTAATTATTCCACCAATTCTCAATTATAAGCTGATTAGAAAATCTCTCTAGAACTATGTTCATTTATAGACTGATGATTTAACTAGTTGATTTTTACTACAAATTCAATCACTAAACAATTGCACCAATAATAATGATGAAGTATATAACAAAAAAAATCTATGAACTTAACTGAATCCCGATTGAAGTACTTACCGACTGACGATGTGTCAGATGTTACTCGCGAAGTAGTTGTTTATTTGTAGAATGCGTTGAAGCTTAGCTCAGAAGTGTCATTAATATAGATAGGGGTTGTTTAGAGGTGCAAATGCATAAAGCGATCAGAGTGCTTGCTTGTATTACAGATGATTGTCTGAAGATTACGTATACATATTTAGTAAATAAGTTTTGCCTTCTCCAAATATATATACGTATTTATATATATATCATCTTGACAACATAATACGTTACAACGGTATTATACACACTTACTTAGTAATATCATACTAAGACCCAATTGATTGCATTTTGATCTCATGTAGATTATAAAATGTTCACTGTTGAAGATTTTTGAACTACGATAAAACAAACTATTCAGTACTCATTTGATGTTTCATAGTTTAATAATTAATGATAGATTCTAATTGTTATGCTGGTCTCTAGGTATGCTTAAACTATTACGGATTCACCTTAGTCGAATAACGAGAACAAAACAATGAACCAGTGTCCAGGTAGGCTACTGTGATCCGATTGTCCCAATTGTACCAGCAAGAAGTCTTGATATAGCGTAGAAAGTATATTCTACAAACACCCAGGAAGCACAATATAATCAAGCACACAAAACTCATTTATTTATATATCATAGAAACGTCTTTGGGACAGTCACAAAAATAGCTCACTAAAATACACAGCAGCAGCCAATCACAGCCAAGGGTTTTCCTGGTGGGAAATGAAATCTCAAGGTCGACTGATCAGCCCATGTCCAAAATAAGGAATTTATCAAGCGAGTTCTGGGCATCTAACGTCCCCAAAACCAGTGGAACAATTCGTTTTCATTTAATTGGCTGATAAAATATTCCAATACTGGACTGTTGTATTTTGTATTTTTTTTTTAAAAAAATAGGTTATTCTACTGGATTCCGATATGTTGTTGAATGATGATATAACAAATTTGTGGAGGTTGTTTAACGAATTCAACAAGGATCAAGTAGGATTAGGTTTTATCATTTATGTTATTTTTTTTCATCGTCAACTTTGAATACCATTCGTCAGTTTGTGTTTTTGTGAATTTTAATGAGATTTAAGCAAAGATACTTGACAATATTACGTATAGAAGTTAAATGCAGATAGTTTACACGACTCATCAAATCTATTCAATGCTCTGATCTGTGCGGAATATGTCGAATTAGAATGAGAACACATACAAAGTGATGTGTGTGCTCTTTATAAAAAATAATTATTGTAAAAATGAATAGTTTAATTTCATCATATACATCTTCCATGCTGAATCCATTGATGAGGGATGCTACCTAGGATTCAATGTAAATTTGTAAAACTTTCTAGTTGGAAAAACGGTAAGAACTAAAGTTCAATAATCGTAAACACTCATGATCAAAAAGCTTAAAATATGCTATTTATCACTCATACTGTAGTGAACGAGAACACAGGTGAGGGCAACCGGATTGTATTTAGCGAAAATTACAGAAATACTCAGTAAAATCGGAAAACCATAGCGTAAATCGTTAATTTGCAAATTATCAGTCCATCATATCGAACTGGACTGTTCCTGTTGCAAAACGTCAATCCATTGTCACTGTTCATGCGTTTCATACAAATTCCATTGTTTTCTAACTCTTCCTATCTTGATCTCTCGCCATCTTCTGCTGCCAGACATTACGTTGACACTCACATCATATACTACTTATAAGTAGCTCATACCAAAATACTTCATACGATCAATACGGCTTCAGAAGTTGGATTTCAACAAATTCTCTAAAACTGCTAATAGCAAACTTCCAATATATCACACTTCTCGATCAGGTGATCGATCTTAACCAAGAAAGATTACAAAACCGATCTAGGTTATGATTTCATTAGAAGTTGAACAGAGATGTTTGAAAAATTGGCTCAGGAACGGAATGTCAAACAGCAGTAACTTTTACTCATTTATTTTTAGGTATTTCAGTTCATTAAAACTCATGAAACTTGGCTCATGCTTTAAACATTAACCAAACTATTTAAATTTTTTCTTGGAAATGGGAGAGGGGGCAGTCGTTAGGTTTACCTATCGTTACAAACTTGTTAACTTCAGCTTATCAAACAGAAAATCAAATTGCTACTGCTGATGAGTCCCATACCAAGACGAAACGGCCGTCCAGTACTTTCAGGTCTCTTTCTAATGGTGGTCTGACAATGATTGATTGATGATTTCAAATGTGTAAAAACACTAATCTCCATAACTCTAATTAAAAAAACATATTATTTGTTTTAATCAAAATATTTAATTTACTTTACTAGTTTTGATTTTCTCTCCTTATTTTCGGGCATAAAAAAATTTATTTTGAAAATTCTTACGTTCACAATTTATTAGTGCATCGGTATTGCTGCTGAACAGAATCCAACTTTTTACAGCAATATGGGACAAAGATTTTGGCCGACATTGGTAAGTCTTGATTTTCGATTTTTTACTCATAAAGTAAATGTATATATATATATTTCAATTAGAGTTATGGAGATTTGTGTTTTTTGCACATTGGAAATCATCGATCAATGATTATTAGGTCACCATAAGGAATCTGAAAGCACTGGACGGCCGTATCGTCCTGGTATGGGTCTCATCAGTAGTGCGCATCCACGATACATTATAATGACGAGAATTCCTTACTTCTCATTGGTAGATTGGAACCAGAGCTTATTGATGAAATAGTCATGCCTTATTGAGCGTCATTTGGTCTACTGAATTTAGATTTTTCAACGTAATTAAAAACGATCGCTTTGCTGATCACTAAGAGGTTCACGAACGTTTCATGTGTTTGCGAATAGCTATATTATTGTTCACTTAGTCAGTTGATAGACCCCCAGATAAATGTGGAGGATAATTGAATGTCAAAATGTGCTTAATTTCTTTTCCAACATTTATTTCTTTCATATCTATGTGTACTCTGAATACTAATTTGCCATAAACAGACACATCATATTTTAGCTTGTCTAAAAATAATATGTAACTAGTTTCATACATCAAAAAGTTAACGTTTTATCGTATAATCAGTTTACACTTTAAATTGGGGTAAAACCATCATCATAACTAGTGTTATAGAGATATGTATATGAGCACTTTGATGAAAAATATACTCAAAGCGTCAATTATATATATATATATATATATAAACTGCAAAATCGTGCACGAAGGACAGCTGACAAACTCGTTTGAGATAAAGACAGGTGTCAGGCAAGGTTGCTTACTCTCACACTTTCGACTGGATTACGAAGACGTTAACATCTGGAGGAAAGCATGGTATCCAATGGACAGCTAGGATGCAGCTGGACGATCTGAACTTCGCAGATGACCTGGCTCTTCTGTTGCACACGCAACAACAAATGCAAGAGAAGACAACCAGTGTAGCAGCAGCCTCAGCAGCAGTACGTCTCAACATACATAAAGGGGAAAGTAGGATACAAAACAACATTCGTGTCAACCAAATCACTCTTGATGGAGATGCCTTGGAGGACGTTAACACCTTTACATATCTGGGCAGCATCATCGACAATCAAGGTGGATCCGATGCAGATGTGAGGGCGCAGATTGGCAAAGCAAGGGCTGCATTTCTACAGTAGAAAAATATCTGGAACTCCAAACAACTTTCAACTAAAACCAAAATCAGGATTTTCAATACAAATGTGAAGACAGTTCTACTGTATGGAGCGGAAACTTGGAGAACTACGAAAGTCATCATCCAGAAGATTCAAGTGTTTATTAACAGTTGTCTTCGCAAAATACTTCGAATTTGTTGGCCAGACACCATCAGCAACAACTTACTGTAGAAGAGAACAAACCAGATTCCAGCAGAGGCAATGAAAGCAGACGTGGAAGCAACTGAAAAGTGAATAGGACACATACTGCGTCACAAGGCAAGCTCTCACATGGAACCTGAAGGTCAAAGTAAAAGAAGAAGGCCAAGGAACACATTACTCCGAGAAATAGGAAAAAATATGAGAAGAATGATTAAAAACTGGAAAGAACTAGAAAGGGAAACCCAGGACAGATTTGGTCAGAGAAAACTGGTGGGCGGCCTATGCTCCATTGTGGGTAACAGGCGTAAATAAGTAATATATATATATATATCTGTCTCTCCACTTGTTTCATATTTAGAATTTGTATATTTGCAGTAGGTTGTTGTTGTTTTGAATTGTTGATAAAAATTGAATGATTTTTATGTGTCAACAATCATAACCACATATATAACATATTCATGCATGTATCTGCCTACACATGAAAGTAGTATATACTGAATTAGCATAAAATTCGAATGTCTAATTTGTAAACGCTTTTAATTAATCATGGTTGAAGGTTGCGTTCATTTGTATCATCGTCAATTTTATATGCCGAGCGTTTATATTTCAAAAGGGAATTTTCATTCTTAATATTATTGAACAGAAATCTATTCATTATTATTATTATTATTATTAGTTTTAGTGTAAATATTGATTGATTCACATGGTAAGTGAAATAAAATAGTGTAATTGATTTGCCCAACTAATTGATTTATCCTTATATTTAATGAAGAAAATAAAAATTATTTCGAAGAGAATACAGCATGAATGATGAAATTTATTTCTATGGAATAATTATATTTTGTGAAATTTCTACTTCTCAATATAGTACAGAAAGAAACTATTTAGAAAAATTGACAAGTTTGGTGTTTATAGGTTTGTGAAAGAGTGTATGTTCAATACATTGGTACTGACTATAGATAGTATCGAGTAGTTAGTTGTTTTATCCTATTCAGAAACATGCATTTAGGCGAGTGTTTCTATATCCAACAATTTCAATTAATTGTACCAACGGGTCATGGGTACTCCATTACTTCAAGGTCACATATTAAATTGAAACAGTTCTTCTGTGATTTTGCAGTTCTCAATGGATATATGTAACTTACCCAGTTGATGATCTCAATAAAATTCAATGATCTCCGCAACCGACTAAATGATTTACTATTTTTTAACTGTTTGTTTGTATAAGCCTATGCTTCATTTTTGAAACCGTGAATTGATCAATTTAGACATTAACACCGTTAGATACCGGCTCAGTGGTCCGAAGGTTAGGCGTTTGCGCACAATACCGAAGGTCCTGGGTTCGAATCCTGCCGGGTGCAGGAGTCGTGGATGCGCACTGCTGAGGAGTCCCATACCAGGACGAAACGGCCGTCGTGCAGTGCATCCAGGTTTTTAATGGTGGTCTAACATTGATCGATTCATGGTTTCAAAAATGTGTAACTTAACAATCTTCACAACCCCGTAATGCTATGCTTCATTGTTTTGTTATGTTGTGTAAGCATTTCAATACTTTGCAAAGAATTGTTGATATTTTTTTAAATTATTTTTGTATTAATAATGAATTAAGGGTTATGGTTATAATGCTGGACTATTATTAATTCATTTATCTAAATTGCGTGCAAGAAATTGGGATGAAAAATGGATGAAAGGTGTCTATAATTTAATGAGAGTAAAAAGAATTCTACCTACTGCTGAACAAGTAAGTTGAAAAAAATCAAAATGACTAAATTGAACTATTTTTAATAAATAGTTAGATAGTTATAGATGTACTCACACACTCTCTCTCCTACTCTCACTCTTTAGTTGTCTCAATTTACACACAATTAATCAATGCTACATTTGAACACTACTTATTCGAATGGTTTTATGTAAAATCAAAATGATGAAGAAATTACTAGAAAGTCACATCAGTTATTGCCATCTATGTATGTAGATGTGTAAAAAGTGTTTTCATTTTCTCTTTCATCAAGGAAAGAGTATGTACACTAATCCAATGTTTGCTCATTCCTCTCATATCTTTCTCTATTTCTCGGAGTAATGTGTTCCTTGGCCTTCCTCTTTTACTTTGACCTTCAGGTTCCATGTGAGGGCTTGTCTTGTGACGCAGTTAGGTGCTTTTTGTAGTGTGTGTCCTACCCACTTTCACCGCTTCTTTCTGATTTCCTCCTCCACTGGAATCTGGTTTGTTCTATCCCACAGTTTGTTGTTGCTGATGGTGTCTGGCCAACGAATACGAAGTATTTTGCGTAGACAACCGTTCATAAATACTTGTATCTTCTCGATGATGGCTTTCGTAGTTCTCCACTCCATACAGTAGAACTGTCTTGACATTTGTATTGTAAATCCTGATTTTGGCTTTGGTTGAAAGTTGTTTGGAGTTCCAGATATTTTTCAATTGTAGGAATGCAGCCCTTGCTTTGCCGATCCACGCCCTCACATCTGCATCGGATCCACGTTTCTCGTCGATGATGCTGCCCAGGTATGCAAAGTTGTTAACGTCCTCGAAAGCATCTCCATCAAGAGTGATTTGGTTGGTGCATGTTGTGTTGCATCGGAGAATTTTGCTTTTTCCTTTATGTATGTTAAGACCTACTGCTGCAGAGGCTGCTGCAACACTGGTCGTGTTCTCTTTTATTTGTTGTTGAGTGTGCGATAGAAGAGCCAGGTCATCTGCGACGTCCAGATCGTCCAGCTGCGTCCTAACTGTCCAGTTGATACCGTAAATTTACAATTAGTTTCATTCATTAACATGTTACATTTATTAACATCGTGTAACTATTGTTGTTAAGCCTTTAGTTACCATATGAGCAAAGTGTTAGGATATTCATCTAATATCCTAAGAGAATTATTGGTCAATTCCTACTGGTCAATTTTATGGTCGTCCTAGATATCAATGTCATGTACTCCAATGTTGTTTTTTATTGGTCGTCTTGACTGTTAATGTCACTTCAAATGTTGTTTCCTATTAGTCGACTTAATTGTCAATGTCACAGACTTCAATGTTATTTGATATTCGACGTAAATGTATAAATACGCATTATCTGTAACGTTTTATGACCCGAATCCCTAATCCATGATCCTGATTCTCTTTTGGACTCGGACCTCTTACTTTCTGGATGCTTGTAGAATGAAGCTTCTAGTTCATATCAAGTCTTCTTCTTTCATTCAATGAGGGTTGGAAAACTTGGATTACAGTAACATGTCGTATCATCGGATCCCCGATCCTCACTCTCGTTTTCCGACTAAGGCAAACTCGTGTTCACGTGTTCATGTGCATGCGTAATACACAGATAGGCGATAGATGTGGATTTTATGCAAATCAGCATTTCCATGAATCAATGTAGTTTTGTATTGATTTTAAATTTAAATGCTGCAACTCTAGTGACACATTAAAACAATATCAATTGATGGATGCTTTCCATTTCAGTTCATTCAAGAGCTTGCATTATTAATGCAGCATTTTCGTGAACAGTCACCACTCGTCTACATAGTTTGATTGTATATCATATATCTGTAGGTAGTTTAACAGTAATACTGTAGTAGACAATAATATCTTTCGTTTTAAAGGAAATTTATTTCAACCGATTTTTCATAATAAATGTTTCCTGCTCGTTAAATATCTTAACTTTTGTAAGCATTAATGTTTACGGAAACTAATGAGAAAAATGATTTAGTGAGCCAATCAGAAGTAACCAAATGAGAAAGTCACTTGGCATCGGTCTCATATGCCTTAAACTACAAGTGCAGATCATTGTCTCTAACAAATAGATTAGGTAATCTAACAGACTTTCATCTTTATTCTATGCTTTTCTCTTAGTAGTCACTTGGAGGGTCACAATGCATAGCACGACGATGTATAAGCATTAAATCTCTGACGCCACCGATTATAACAACTAAATAAGACTACAAAGTCAACTGAGTCTATCAAATGATTTTCAATTCCACTTATCTATTGTATACTCACTCTATCCCACTGCTCATGTGACTGTTCAAATGCAATAGTAAAGACATGATATATGAATCCATGTTATAAATAATGCACACAATAAATTAGGATTTTTCTATGATAAAAATGATTCGTTCAACAACATGTCGGTGATGACCAAAGCGATGTAAATAATCCACTTACAATCGTTCCTTGTCCACACTTACTAATGTCTTAATATTATGTGTCCTTAAGATATCGTCTAATTGGTTTGTTTTTACTTGGATGCTAAACTTTCTTCTGTTAATGAATGGAAGATCAAACTTAGGATTGAATCATCGAAAACTTAATTTAATACAGTGTTATGCAGTATGTACTGTTCTAGGCCAATGATTCCAACGAGTAAATGTATGTAAGACTAGGAATGATTATAAGAGTTTTAGATTTATTGAAGTTCTAACCATTTACATTAACTGATAGTTATTTAGTAATCAGTGGCAATATCTTATCATACCAGTCGAGCAATTGACACGGATTTGAGTCTCTCAAGTACCATTAGTTATAGCATTACTCTAGATGTGCTTCGTCGGGAAATGTTAATTCACTCAAAATCTTGCTAATTCTTTCCAATCGTTTAGATAAGTGTAAAGCATACTTTCAGTACAACAATAGAGTGATTACTCAGTTATTTTACAATTTCAATCAATAGTCCAATGATTATTGTTTCCTTATTCATTAAGAGTTCTCTAAAATGCTATTTATCAGTAGTCTGTAAACTATAAAATTAATTGTAGTTTTCCGCTTTCATATTGACTGAATCCAATCACATATTACTTTGTTCAGTTAGAACTATGGTGATAAGTGTTTTTACGCATTTGAAATCATCATTCAATCATTGTTAAACCACAATTAGGAAGAAACCTGAAAGCACTGGACGGCCGTTTCGTCCTGGTTTGGGACTCATCAGCTGTGCTCATCCACGACTCCTGCACCTCACAGGATTCGGGCCCGGGACCTTCGATATTGTGCGCGAACGCCTGACCATTGGACCACTGATGAATCCCACACCGGGATGAAACGGCCATCCAGTGCTTCCAGGTTTCTAATGGTCTAACAATCGTTGATTAATGACTTGAGTTGTGTAAAAACACTAAACTCCATAACCTTAATTGAAAATATTGTATAATGTGCTCATCAGTGACTAGCTTCATGAGAAAATTCTCAGAGTTCTAGTGAGAAGACGTGACCAGTGGAGTTCAACCCTGTCGGGTGTAGTCAGTAACTGCCAAAGACAAATGGGTGAGGTTGCGCGAAATACGTAGATCAGTCAGGGTTAGACATTAACACCGTTGGATGCCGGCCCAGTGGTCCGATGGTTGAGCGTTCTCTCACAATACCGAAGGACCCGGGTTTGAATTCTGAGAAGTGCATGAGTTGTGGATGCGCACTGCTGATGAGTCCCATACCAGGACGAAACGGCCATGAAACTTTTTTCTTAAAATTTTACATTTATTAAGTAACAGATAATTGATTTGTAGAATTATTTGTAGAATGTTCACATTCTTTGAATTTCTGTACTAGCATAAAGTATTGTAACGTTTCTAGACTGTCTTACTTGTTTGTTTTTCTTTTTAAAACGGATTTCAGCACAGATTCATAGTGTGTCTAGATGCAGTCAGAATATCATTGTTAGTTAAAATTAATAGAAGTATGAATTAGTGGTTGATTTCATACACTTTATCCAACTTAACCACGCACACTATGGAATGAGGAGGATACATTTTGTTTCATTAAAAAAAAAGTATTTTCAATGAATAATCATCTAATCAAATTGTCTTACATTAATGTTATTTTATTCATGAGGATCAATTACAGTGTTTACATGTAGTAGGATGACCTGATTGTTGGATAATATGCAACCATGTTGTAATACAATCAAGTGATATAACTGTTCATGAGGCCTAATTATCGACAGAATTGGTGAAATAATTCTATTTGTAGAGAATAATCTTTACTTAGAAGAATAGATTACTTTCAATTAGAATAACATGTTTGTATATATCAATTATTCACTGAAAAAAATAAACACTTTATTAGGTTCAATAGGTGATATCCTAAGAGAATTATTGGTCAATTCCTATTGGTTAATTCCTACTAGTCAATTTTATGGTCGTCCTAGATATCAATGTCACGTGCTCCAATGTTAATTCTTATTAGTTGTCCTGATTATCAATGTCACTTCAAATGTTGCTTCCTATTGGTCGTCTTAACTGTCAATGTCACAGAATTCGATGCTGTTTTCTATTGGACCAAAGTGTATAAATACGCATTATCTGTAACGTTTTATGACCCGGACCCGGATCCCTAATCCGGGATCCTGATTCTCTTCTGGACTCGAACCTCGTATTTTCTGGATGCTTGTAGATTACAGGTTCTACTTCATATCACGTCTTCTTATTTTTACTCAAAATGGGGGTCGGGATAATCGGATTTGAGTAGTATGTCGTGTCGCCGGATCTTCGGTCTCGTTTTCCGACAAGATAAACTTGTAATAGTTCAAGCATATCAAAATGACTTGTTTACGTGCAGGAGTGTAACAGCAGGCCACGGAATCAAATCAATTTGATCGGTGATTTACATCGCAGTCAATTCAGACTTTGACCAAATTATATTATCACAGCCTTATCGATGAGTCAAATGTTTAGTGTAACTATTTTCAGGTTACAGGTTCAATATATTTTTACTACTGTGAAGTTTTTTCTTATTCTTTTACAGGATGTTATCAATGCTGTATTGAATCAAAATAGACATTGGCTATACGAGATACCTTGTGAATGGAATATTCAATTAAGTGCATTTTCTATACGTGAACGTTGTCCAGTAGTATGGGAAATTTCATTCAATAATAATAATAATAACAGTAATATTAATGCTAATCATCGCAGTCATAAACATAAACAACCACTCAACAGTGATAATATATTACAATATCCAAATGCAAAATTAATACATTTTAATGCACATGTAAAACCAGAGCATTTTATCCCTATGCCATTAAGATTTCCGTCGCCTATTGACAAGCCTAATGAATATTATTCAAGTAAGAAGTAGTGATGCCTGTAGTGATTGATTCATGAATATTTTGTCTATTAAAAGAGTTTAATACAGCTATTATCAATAAGCTCTTTTGTTAAATCTAGAAAGTTTTATTCTAAATAAAACTATGAAACAGAACAAGAGCTGAGATGGAAGGGAAACAGACCAGTAAAGTACAGATAATTTATTGAAATGGGATTGATTTAATTTGTCTGATGATGATTGAAATGTTAGTGGAATGTTACTGCCCTATACTTTCCTTGCTTACTTGCTTACTTACGCCTGTTATCCTCAATCGTGTTTAAGCTGCCGATCGGCATTATCCCACCTACACTGTTCTGGGCCTTCTTTCCCAGTTCTGTCCAATTTTTTTATTTTAGCTTATATCATTAAAAAAAATTTTAGTTTGATAAATCTTTGGAAACCAGAAAGAAGTAGTAGCTGTCTCATGTTAGTTAAATGGGAGTCCTCAACAAAGATTATCTATGGCCACACTGATAAATGAATGGAAAACGCAGAACTAGCTTAAATTTGATTAAACCTCTTCTCATTTTCATATGCCACAATGCTATTTTAAGCGTCCATCAATCAGTATTACGATATTCGTTGAAAGCATTAATTTTTATTGATTTATGAAAATTGGAATCATGAATCAGTATTGGTAGACACCTGGAAGCACAGTACTGCCGTTTTGTTCTAGTATTGGACTCTTGAGAAGTGCGCATCTACAACTTCCGCTCAAACGAATCAAATCCAGGACCTCCGGTCTAGTTCTTGAATAGCGAACCTCCAGACCAGTGAGCCGGTATCCAACGGTCTTATTGTCTTACTTTGATCACTCTAAAGATTTTGCACAACCTCACCCATTATCTTTGCTAGTTACTGCCTAGATCCAGCATAGCTGAACTCTACTGATCAAGTTTTCTTACTAGTACTCTAAGAATCGACTCACGAAGCTGGTCATTAGTGAGGATAACTTATGAATTTTCGTTGGTATGAAACGAATACTGTTCTTGTATGAACTCAAGCATGTTAGTTCAGAGACAGTGTTAGATAAAATAAATGAATTCAGAAAAAATAACCCAACAATTTCAATGTGGCCACAATATTATAAGAAAACTATGTCTGATAGGAATTATTCCATTTTATTTAAATGAAAATACAATGATGATTAGATGAGCAGTGTAATTTAACTGCTAGAAATATTTTTAATTTACTGTTCTACTCGACAATTGTTGCATTTTTTATTTTATTTGGAATTTTCCATGTTTTTGTTGAATTGAATACAATAAGAAGGATTGGAATATTTTTAAATTACACAAAACTTTAATGATATTATTCAGAGAATTATCAATATCAAGGAATCACTGAACTGTTGATACGTTGACGTAATTTGGACACAATGGACACAATGATCATTGAGTATGAGGTTACTGATATATATATATATATATATATATATATATATATATATATATATATATATATATATATAACACTAAGCTAATCTTCTTACAATATACTGAGGAAATCACAACAAGGATTGGTCTATGCATCCGGTTTCATTTATAGATTTTTTTAATAGCTAATTTATACTGGATAGGGAGATGCTGTATATCATGGCATTAAATCTCAAAGAGAATTGTGCTTTCTGATAGAATCAATATCTCTAGATGAAAATGTTTTGTGACTAGTTTTGATTTGTAGACTGTATTCATTACAGATTCATTCCAGTTCTAAAGCCTAATTGTTTATGACGAGATCTAACGTTCCTGGCTTCTCAATGTTGGACAGCTAGCCCTATGCTAAGTATATACCTGGATGAATTATTCATTTAGTGTTTCCTGGGTTTTTTTTGGAGCCCCTAATTAGAAAATTAATTCCCTATCTAATAAAATATAATCATTATTCTCCTATTCTTAACATAAAAAGGACATGATAAGACATCGTGAACCAATGGAGGATATCAGCCTTATAGGCCAAAAACTCACAAATGAATTAAGACCTAACTCTGAAGTTTAACTATTATTTGTCTTATCAAAATACTAACTGGTCGATATCATAAGTTATAACTTTGGAACTGAATAAGAATTAATATGAGCTATTGTTAAACTGGCTTTTTATTGGCAGTGATAGGAATTTAGGTAAATGTTTAGTTCCAATGAGAAAAAAGTAGGAAACCGATCTTATTGGTCTACCAAATAAACTAGGAAAAAAATGACGACTAATTAAATCAGATTTATCTTGGTAATATATATGCAACTGATATTACTCAAATAGATCTTAATTCAAATCAAATGGAATAGGATAGGTCGAATCAGTTGTATGAAATTTTCATGGCTCATGTTAAATGAAAAGTGGAGCTCACCATTTCAGTCGTCCGCGACTTGAATCCAGTGTGGACGAATGATCAAGTGTGCAATGAAATGAATCTTCCTGTCCATATTATGCTTAGGCAAACCCCGTTTGTGCGACGGCGGTAATCAGAAGGCGAATACGGTTTCGTGGATGAATTTATTGCATGCATTCATTTTAGGCAGACAGACATGAGAACGAGAAGAGTACAAGCGAACTGGAGAAGGTGAATGAGCCAACTCTCATGCGCTGAAGCAATGACTAAGTATTTACAGTCAGGCAATAATAAGCTACACATTTTGTAATTAGTGAGTAAGTAGGCGCACACACAATCAAATATACAATAATCGATACTGTAATCGAATTATTACAAATATAAAAAATGGTCGATCCAATCATCGAATAATTTCAATGAACTAGTGATTAAAGTTGGTACAATGAATAAGTGATGATGTGCTATAACACCATGATCTGATGTTACTCAACTAGATTTCAAGTCAAATCAAAATGAATAGAATAGGTGTACAAATACATGCGTTGTCTGTACGCTGTCCCAAAAGTTTATGCGATTTCAAAAAACCGAGAATAATTAGGAAGATATGATTGACAAACCGAATAAGATGTACACAATTTACTAGTAAATATGAATTTATTTTTGTAACCTGAACAGAAACACACAATTACAGATATTAACTTAATCTTTATTCAGCTTAATCTAGTAAAGTACATTGTTCGATACTTGGTTTCAAAAATGTGTAACTTAAACATCTTCACAACCCGGTAATGCAAATTACTTGTGCTCACTAGTGACTGGCTTCGTGAGTAATCTTCTACGAGTTCTAGTGAGAAGACGTGACCAGTGAAGTTCAACCTGTTCAGGTGTAGGCAGTGTCTACCGAAGACTGTGTATGAGGTTGCGCGACTCCGTGAATTCGATCAAGTTAGTCATTAACACCGTTGGATACCGGCTCAGTGGTCTAACGGTTAGGGCGTTCGCGCACAATACCGGAGGTCCTGGGTTCGAATCCTGCGGGATGCAGGGGTCCCGTACCAGGACGGAACGGCCGTCCAGTGCTTCCAGGTTTCTAATGGTGGTCTAACATTGATCGATACATGGTTTCAAAAATGTGTAACTTAACAATCTTCACAACCCCGTAATGCAAACAAATTATTCACCATTGAACATAATATCTTACTGTGTGATATTATTACATTACATCAATCTAGTAAAATAAATTATACGCTTTAATGTTTTTTGCATTTTGTTATTTTCATTCTTCTTTGTATTACAGCTATTCAATTATCAAGAAAATATTTTCAATTTTATTATAATTTACGAAGTATGAATCGACATTGTTTCCTGTAAAAAAAAAAGATTAATAAAAACACTTAATAATTTGTTTATTTTTTACGACTTTTTTTAAAAGAAACAAACTTTTTTTGTATTTAATTTCCCTATTATAGTTTCACAATTTTCTATCTATAATCTGATCAGGCAAATAAAGTTAAATGTAACATATTTTGTTTGTTAAGTGAATAATAATTCAAGTTGGCATTAATTTAATTTATTTTTTCTTTAAATCGCAGATATTTTCATCATTGAATCTTTTAAGATTATGCATAATGCAAATGTAGTCGGTGAGACATGATCACTATAGAGTCAGACATTGATATACGCTGATGCAAATCACTTTATCAAGATTAATAAACATGGGAGTTAAAATAATGTGAAAGACTGAACACTAAGAATAAAGTTATCAAGAGACGATGTGAAAATGTAGATAGGGAGGACTGTGGTGGACCAAACGCTATATTATTTCAAAATATTAACAAAGTTATTGAATACAAACAGATGTATATTGAAATATATCAGTTAAATGTGATAAATACAATAAAAATATAAGGACGTTACTTTATACGGCTACTTGTGCGTGTTCGATTGTGATTGGTAATGTAAATCTACAATTATAGGAATGTTAGTGATCCAAATGGAGTAATTGTCCGTAGAGTAGCATATACATATGACTGCAGTCTATAAAGTAGATATATATGTATTAGACTCCAGATAGCGTTCTAATGAACGATTGAGAACATGAGATATGCGTGTGGTGCTGTGGTGCGAACTACTTATAAGTAGTATATAACGTGAGTGTCAACGTAAAGTCTGGTAGCATAATATGGGGGGAAAATCAAGAAAGGAAGAGTTAGAAAACAATGGAATTTGTATGAAACGCATGAATAGTGACAATGGATTGATGTTTGCAGCAGGAACAGTCCAGTTCCATAGGATGAACTGATCTTTTGCAAATGAACGATTTACGATATGGTTTTCCGATTTTACTGAGTAACTGTAATTTTCGTTAAATACGATTCGGTTGCCTCATTCACTACATGCGTATAAAGTATATTTGATAGGATGCGGCAGTGAGTGTCGTGCTATGTGTACAATGAACGGAAAAATAGGAGCAGTATGTGCGCCTGATATATTCAAGGACACACACTTAAACAAAAAAATGTACAACAATTTCATAGTGAATGTACAGGCTGTGAAAATTAACAGAATAAATAAAAATAGTATCAAAAACTATTTACAAAATAAGTTTGTCATGCCATCTCCACAGGACTACTGAAATTCAGGATTTAAAGGAAGATACACAATAAATGCTTTCGTATCATGATGAACAGTTGTGAACAATGTCACTTAAAACCTCCAGTCACCTATCACAGTTAACGCACTAACCCTAATCAAGTAGTCTGTATCGATCAAAAGGTTTAGGTCAATTGTCAACAAATTCGTAGACTTCTGTTCGGCCACCCCTAACTTTTGCTCAACCTAGTTCTATACCGGAAAATATTGTCAATATCATTTGCAATTTGATTATCGTTTCAAATGTTAATAAATACTAATGAATTGGCACTAACATAGATCTCACATCTTTCAGGGAACTAAGAATAAGTATCAGTATTCGATATCATCGCAGTAAATTAATAACCTTCAGTTGATCGAGTAAACAATAACGTAACATTTAAAAAAAAGCTGCAGTTCGTGGCGTAACACATTCCTTTACGTTCTACAACAGTATTTCTCAAACTGTGTCAAATAGCTTTCATACAGATGTAAACTACAACTGATTCAGATTTATTAACGAGTTTATTCATACAATGCTTTAATGAATCAATAAGCGTGTTTCGCTATACAGCTTTATTGTAGGAAAGTTAAAATTCCATGTGACATAAAAGTAAGTATTAAACATATAAGGTAAACTTAAACTGGCATTGATAAGTTTAAACATTTGAAATCATATTTCAATCATTGTTAGATCAACATTAGAAACCTGGAAGCACTGGACGGCCTTTTGGTCCTGGTATGGGACTCAGCAGCAGTGCGCATCCACGACTCCCGCACTTCGCAGGATTCGAACCCGGGACCTTCGGTATTATGAGCGAACACCAAACCACTGCACCAGGTACAAGAGTCGTGAATGCGATTTGCTGATGAGTCCCGTACGAGGAAGAAACGGCCGTCCAGTGCTTCCAGGTTTCTAATGTTGGTCTAGCAATGATTGATTTATGATTTCAAATGTGTCAGAACACTAATCTCCATAACTCTAATTGAAAATATTGATAAGCTTTATCTACAAAAATACAACGCCATCACAAAGGTGAGATAGTAAACTGTTAAATATTTTGATTGCCATAACATAGTTACAACTTTAAAATTTGTTCCAAATTAATATTTTCACACCAATTACATCCTACTCTACAGCGATTAAACGTAGTGCACGTGAAGTTATTTAGGAAAACTAGTTGGCGTACTGAAAACTCATCGCTAGAATTACATCAGCTTTTAAGAGTAGACGAACATAACACTTAATCGCTTGTTATATATATATGTATATATATATATATATATAATATTGTTTGTTTCTATACGACATTACACACATTCTAGATATAAACGTAGTAAAGTTTGTAACACTGAATGAAGCACTTTTCCTCAAAAAGTCCACACTCACCAACCACGCTTAGTTGTTGATGATAACTTCCTAATGTGGTATACTCTAACTTTTAGATATCTTTTCAATAGATTTCTCAGTTGTGTATCTTACTATGGGACTCAAAATATGACAGTTTACAATAAACATCCTGAAGGGTGTCTGAAACCAACTGTTTGTCATCGTTTGTTGATTTATTTCATTTAATTAAACATGAATGAAGTATACTTTTGATGTACGGTTCTTTTGATTCAAGATAACAATGATAGCACCTTAATCTGGACTACAATAATTCATTATTGTTTCTCAACAGATCTAGTAGTTGGAATTTATATTCTTTGGAAATTAGTCATTTAGTTGTTGGCCTTGTATTGGTTCCGTAGGTAGTCTCTTTTGTTGGTTAGATCAAGCTTTCAAACTGGTCTCTTGTGCCAAGTTAATTGAATTTTAGTAAAGTGATATTAGAGTAGTTAAAAACATATTTCTTAGGTATCTATAGAACAGTAACTTACATTTCCGTTGACTTTAGACTTTTCATCTACTCTGCATTCATGCCCTCTTAAGCTTTCGTTAACACTGTATGTATTCTTTAAGTCTATTGAGTTCATCTTCCGTTAGTTGATAATAACATTTGTATTCTCAGTAAAACAGTTAGTTCGAATGCTAGAAATTCTGTGGTGAATTTTCTTCCTCTAAGCTGCATGTTTTAGTTGGGGGGCCTAATAATCTTGACTTGATTTCGTTGATAGAATTTAATGTAAGACGACGTTTAAGAGAAAAATGATTTGGATGAATATGATCTCAACAAAGTGATCGCTTGTATTGTCCTAGATATTCTCGTTTGACTATATAACTTTTTAAAAAAATTTGATTCTATACTTCGCTAAAGCACTCTTGACAGAAAATCTACTTGACTTTCGTCATAGGATACTTGCATGTTTCCAAACAACGTAAAAGATCCATTATGTCATTGCGGAAAATTTAACTAATAATACGATTGTATAGCAGCTTAAGTAAATGAAATAATCGAAAAGAAATTTTTCTACGCTGAATCGCCTTTGTTTATCTTCAATGACAAGTGTCTTTCGACATTTAAGCTACTATCAATTGGTAATGAGTAGCTTGAAAGTTTCAACAAAGAAAATAGAGGTAAGTATTATAAATAGACATATATATATTTACACATTTTTGAAACCATGAGTCGATCAATGTTAGACCACCATTAGAAACCTGGAAGCACTGGACGGCCGTTTCGTCCTGGTATGGGACTCCTCAGCAGTGCGCATCCACGAATCCTGCACCCCGCAGGATCCGAACCCAGGACCTTCGGTATTGTGCGCGAACGCCCTAACCGATGCGGGGTGCAGGAGTCGTGGATGCGCACTGCTGAGAAGTCCCATACCAGGACGAAACGGCCGTCCAGTGCTTCTAGGTTTCTAATGGTGGTCTAACATTGATCGGTTCATGGTTTCAAAAATGTGTAACTTAACAATCTTCACAACCCCGTAATGCGTATATATATTTGCCAAAAAATAGCCACTTTATAATAGATGAATAAAAAAGTACAAATAAAGCTTTTTATAAATCAGGAAAAGATTAGACTCATAATATATTATTGAAATTGACAACGAAAACAAACAGAACGGATCCGATTAGATCTAATCAACAAAATCAATCATCTGGAAGACTACATTTTTTTTTAAAAAAAAGGAATGCATAAACTTGATAAGTATCAAAAAATTATAATCAGTAAACAATAAAAAAAAGTTGTATGATTGTATCTGATTTTAGATAAGAGTTTATCTCCTTTATAACAAACTGAAACATGTTATGTTTTAATGGAAGGAATGATTTGAAAAGCTTACATTGTGTTTTGAATGACAAGAACAAATAGGTAGAAGGTATACACGAATAGAGGTATGCAATAATTTTTAAGTATAAATAAAACTTAAATCTGATCAGTTGATATGGGCATTACATGGGGATAATTTTTTTGTCACTCGTCACTTGTTATCACATACATAGTTAAAGGGATTAAATATAACATTTGTTTATGATTCTAAAACTTAACAGTTATAGCTAACTGATTTGCTTTTTTTTTGTCAGAAAAATAAATTAAATCTTATAAGATGTAGTATATATACATGTTAAAAAAATGATTGATTATTTATCAATATCAAAGTATGATATAAGCAAAAAAAAGGGTGAATCTGTACCAATAATTCATAACAAATCGAACTGTTCAAAAGATTGAGAATAATAATGCACAAAAAAGAAAAACAAGAACAATAATTGGGATCAAATTTTTTTTTCATGTTAATTTATCGATAATTTTGAAAAAAAGCTAATCAGAAATGAACATAGTTCTTGAAATAGAACCAATTGAACAAACAATGTTTAACGAATAGTAATTCAGCATCAAAATTCATCCATATATCATCATCATTGGTCTTCACTATTACTGACAACAATATTTTGACATGGTTGTGAAGTAAAAATAGTTACTAAAGATTTTCCATTCAATAAATGATTACTATTATTATTATTATTATTATGATTGTTATTCATGTTTTTTGTGTAAATTAATCGACCCCATGGTTGAATTTCACCGCTTGTCAACCATAAATTCATTAGCGCACCAAACCATGCTATTCCTGCTGCTATAGAAAAAACAATCATCCAATTCTGAATACTTGACTAAGGGCAAATAGAAAGAGATAGACAAAGTGAAACAGTGGGACGAGTAATGAATGAGCAGTGAATAATTAAAACACTTCATCAAATATAGAGATCAAAACGTTGATAATCACAACAACACATAATTCAATCAGGTAGAAGGAAATCGATAAGAAGTTCACCTACTTTACAATGCTATAATTTATGGTTAGAGTCTTGGAAAACTACTGAAAATCAATTGGAATTAGACAGTTTTTCAGCGTTAATAAGGGAATTTTCGAAAGTGTATACCTCCAAAACTCTGAAAGATAGAATAAAGTAACTCCAGAACTATCCATCAGTGAGTTATAGTTAAGATTACTGAGTCGTAATTCAACTGATCACATCGCTAAATTTCACAAGTTTGTGATTTTCTCTATCTTCGAAATTAATTGTCGAACTTCTACTAGTTATCCACGGATGACATTGGATAATTATGATTTTATGTCACAAAATTAATTGAAATAAAAGCTTCAACACCATTTGTTGATGCCATACTGATTGTAAAACCTGAGGTTGATCAGTCCCAATACAACAACCAGTCATGATTACTGAAGATCAATAAACTAATATGAAACAGTCATTTAGTCTATTTTTTATTGATAAGTTTTCAAAAATTTAATTATAGATAGCTAAGAATATGCAGAGAGTGATGATTTTATCACAGATGAGATTAAACTTTGAGATGATTTCTTAATAGTTGCGACCAAGATGATCAGTTTCATTACCAATAATCTATTGTTGTTAATCTCTCATTGAAGACTGTATCAGTGTAAACTGATCATTAATCAAACTGACATTATGAATATTAATAACTCATTTGTAAATACAGATTTCCATAGTCGGCTTTGAGCTACACTTCAAGTATGAGTGCCAGTGATATTACTCAGTTGGTCAAAGAAAATGAGGGAAAGCTAAGTTCAAATCTGTGACTCTAGCTGACAGATGAACGCCTCAACCACTGATCATCCATCGCTCCACTAAAGATTCATATTTTGATAGTGAGAACTATATCTGTTATGTTTTGCGGAATGATGCAATCAGTATTGTATTCCTAAAACATGGACAACCAACTATATAGTTAGAAATGATGAAGACAGTCAAAAATCTACTAATAACGACAATATTAGGAGTTAATGCATGTTTTTTTTTTTAAGTTGTCACAACGATTAAAATAAATTTGAAGAATGATACTCAGCTATATAAAAATAAGTCTTCTGTATAATTTTACCTGATTATACTTTAATTTTTACACAGTATTTGATCTGTCCGAGTTTTTGTTAATCCCATGAAACTGTTATATAACAGGGAATGTAAATGATAATATCGATTTGTACAGTGTGTGTTCTTTTTAATAGTAATTACTTGGTCACACATACGTATAAACTACTACTGGCACTTACTATTTCTCACACTTCCATTCTGTAACATGAAGATATTCTCTGCAGGTTTAAGCTAACACAATGTGATCTTTCCCACATCATAATTTAGTCTAGATAGTTCAAACAGTTTCAAGAAAAAAATCTTTATCAATAAATGCTATACACTTTCAACAAAATGACTGAATTATCCAGTTTGAGACCATGCCACTTAAGTACTTCATTGAATAAAATTAGGTGAATATTAATTACTGAATTGAGATTGAACACTTAAATGAACAAACCATAAATTGGTTAATTCAAAGAGGACGTTATTGATTTTTTTTATTTTTTAAAAAAAAAAAGAATCAATACACTTACACTATTTTTTGTTACATAACCGACTACAAGTGGTCCAAATATACCTGGTAGAGTACCAGCAGTATTGGTTATTGAAATTATATTGCCTGAAAAATCAATTTTTACAGTAAAACACATGCATATAATTGACACAATGAAAATGAATTAATGGTATTGTAATTTTTATCCACAAATTTTCACATCATATTAAAATATAGATGATAAAAAGACACAATGAATAAAACAATATCTCTTTTTAATTGGTTCTTCAAAACAAAACAAAAAACTCCAGACGAATGTATATGTTATACAAATCAGTTGAAAAGTCATTAGTAAATAAAAAAAAATGGTAGTGAGTCGATTGAACAATATGATAATCAGTTAGAGTTACATAAAATTTGTAAGTGTTAGGATATTCATCAAATATACTAAGAGAATTATTTTTGTAAGTCTAATTCTATTGGTCAATTCCTCCTACTGGTCAATCTTGTGTTGTTGTTTCCTATTCGACCGAATTAGATAAATACGCATTATCTGTAATGTTTTTGATGACCCAAATCCCTAGTCCGGGATCCTGATTCTCTTCTGGACTCGGATCTCGTACTTTTTGGATGCTTGCAGAATACAGGTTCTAGTTCATATTAAGTATTCTTCTTTTACTCAATGGAGGTTTGGGACGTTTGGATTAGAGTAGCATGTTGTGTCACTGAGTCACAGATCCTCGCTCTCGTTTTCCGAGTTGAATTCTGGAACTGCATGATGAATTCGGAGGAATTTTATAAATAACTTTAAATTCTGGCATTTTATGAATGTGATGACCAGTATCGACTGGATGCAACAAGATCAAGCTTCTAACTTTTGATCAAACCAGAGCGATGATGTCCCTAATTAGGATCATGCATTTGTCTGGTTGTACGCCCAATATAATTAGCTTCACAAGAGTAGTTGAAATGGTAAACAGACAAGGAGACAGAAGAACTAGGCCATTGATCCTTATTTTGTAAGTTAAGTATTGGCCGTCTGAAGAGAGTAAGATATAATATTACTGCATTGAATGTGTGTTCTAAGTCTTTTTGATACTGTCCGTAATTTTACTTTAGGTTTAGTTCCAGACATATGTTTTATCAAAAACTTTGAAAGATATTCAAGTTTGCTTAGTAAATCCCGAATAAGATTTAGTTTCTCTTCGAAATCATCATCGGAACAATCCTATAATGATGAATAATTATAGCTCTGTAGGTAAAGCATTTGACTAAGTTTCCCCTATCTTGTACTGAGACACGGGCAAGAAAGTGTGTATATTGTTGCTTGGCATATACGGTTGAACATAAACACTACTTACTGACTCATCATTTCTTCTCGCCAGTAGAACATCTAGAAAAGAACTGGTGTCGCACTTTTATTGTTACGTTGTGAAAGTGATTGCCTGATGGACTTGATTAAATGTTTCTCGTAGGATCTGAGCTTCTTTCTTATTGATTGTAACTATAAATGTATCACACGTGTAACGACATTAAAATTTTATTTTCAATTAGAGTTACGGAGATGAGTGTTTTTACACATTTGAAATCATCAATCAATCATTGTTAGGACACCATTGATGATTTCAAACGTGTAAAAACACTAATCTCCATAACTCTAATTGAAAATATCGTAACAGTGCTCATTAGTTACTAGCTTCGTGCGGAAATTCTCGAAGTTCTAGTGAGAAGACGTGATCAATGGAGTTCAACCCTGTCAGGTGTGAGCAGTAACTACCGAAGAAAAGTGGTTGAGGTCGGCCATCATCATCACATTGGTTTTAGAGTTCATGATGTAGTAGTTGTTCTTTCATTTTTCTCTTTCTAATATCCCAACGGGAATGTTCACTAAACATGATTGAGTTGTTGAAGGCGTTTTGTGAAAAGAGAGAAAGCGATAGACAGGGAAAGAAAAAGAGTACAAAGTTTTTTTGATAGCAAAATTTGAAAGAATGGTTCGGTTTTTAACACTAATGACAATTATACAGTTTCTAATAAGAACATTCAGACCATACCACAGATAGTCGAAATGTTACAGTGTTATCTAGTTATAATTTAAATATGGTAAACATTGGATGAACTTATTCAATTTTAATGTTGCTTAATAGTTAGATTTTTTTTGTTTACATAAAGAGCCAATCTTAGTTGCATAACCATTGAAAACTAAATGCACTGGATAGTTGTTTTGCTTTTATATGGGATTCATCAGCAGTGACCAGCAATAACCTAAACGGGCGATCGAATCCAGGAAATATAGACGTTTCAGCGAGTACTTTACCTTCAATGATTAAGATGCATAACTTTAGTCAATTCGTAAAACATTATATTGATCTTTTCATTCCATCTGTGAATAAACTGACTAACAACCAAGGCAATTGAACACTAATTTTCACTGCATTTTAGTAAATCTTCTAAAATTACCTTTGAAAAAATTAGTCACCAGTGAGCAAAGGTTTATTACTAGAACATAAGATTTGATGAGATTGTTGAATTTCATAGTTTACAACATAGATTGCTTAGTTAGACAACCATTGAAAAGGGCTTACAAATACAAATATTTTGTATAGTTACCACTTAATTCATTTATGTTAAAGTGTCATCAACTAAATAAAATAACTTAATGATTGATTACAATTCGAATGATGAAATTCTTTTGGTACTAAAGAATTAGACATCTGATGAAGTACAGGAGTAATCGATTTTCTTAGACTAATAGCTGCATTACAACTTCGCGGATAGAATTGAATTGGTGCTTTAGGACTAAAAAAAAACATAATATTACTTTTCAGTGACCAATTAGTGTGATATTTCTTCTTCTGTTTTTTAAAACCACCATACACCTATTATGAAAATTGATCTAATTCATTTGGTCAAATTACATTGAAGATATGAATAGGTTGAAATCATAGTTTCCCCCCGACCCACTTTTAAAAGCCGAAACTATTGATCAACTGAAAGTATATCCTACACCAATGCAGTTATTTACAAATGAGCATAATTTATCATTTAATAAATTTGTTCTTCAAGCATTAAAAAATGAAGGTCACTCAAATAGAAATGACCATTCACATCGAATAGTTAGTTATATTGATATGTTTTGTAACCTTGGAGATTTTTTAAAGAAATAAACAGAAATATCCATTTGTGTATATATATATACATATATATATATATATATATATTGAGGCAAAGTTTTAGAGGTTTGCTTTTTTTCACATTTGAAATCATCAATCAATCATTGTTAGACCACCATTAGAAACCTGAAAGCACCTGTGATGTGCAGGAGCCGTGGATGCGCACTGCTGATGAGTCCCATACCAGGACGAAACGGCCATGCAGTGCTTTTAGGTTTCTTATGGTGGTCTTACCATGATTGATTGATGATTTCAAATATATATATATATATATACATATATGAGAGGGTGTGACACAATGTTTGGTTATGAAAATTGCAAGTCCAACCTTTAGTTTAACGACATAAAACAATAATGACCTACAAAATCAGTCGTCTAAATTGCTAATATTTAATTCTATTTATAAAATAGTGAAGATTTTTTGTAGCTCAGGTATATATATGAGCTTTGAGGAGCTGAATAGCTCGCCTCTATCTGAAGTTGTGCTGATTGTAATATCCAGAAGCTTTTATTACGTAGCATACAATTATTCAGAGAAGGAAACTTCACTAAAATTTTACTAATTTTACTGTCGAATATTTTGTATACACCAACGATGATTTACTTCAAAATAAACCAACCTATTCAGATGATAATTAGTCCTTTATTGACTTCCCGATTTACTTAACCTTTTTGCATTTATACTTTAATCTTGTGAACAGTTATCATTCGATCCTATATATATATATATATATATATATATATATATATATATATATATATATAACGATTAATATTCTATTCGTCACCAATAAAAACAATTCAAAAGATTGTCATTTACAGCCTTAACATTAAATATTGAAAAATTCTCGTCTTACATAAAACAAGTGAGTTGTTATATGTTTATTAAAAAAAACTCTCAATTATAAAGTTCAACTGTCATCGGATGATGTGTTATTACAGTTAAACTGTGAATATTAATACATGAACACAATATTATTTTGGTAAGTAGTAAAATAAAAAGTTATTTCAACAAAAGTTGAAATTTTTGAGCGATCTTTTTTTTTTTTTAGTGAAACAATGTTTTTAGCCAACTCAACATATGTATTGTGTTTGAATAATGTGATACAACTGTCCTTCTGTAATCAATCACCTGTTTACACGCATAAATATTTATAATATATATATTTAATTATTTAGTTAATCTCATCATCAATCCCTAGTTTTTTGTAATGGCTCAATGGAGGATGTCAACACTGTGTTTCGTTCAAGTTTGTAGGGCTTTCTCAGCCCTATTATTCAAAACCAATGAAAATAAACTAGTTAACAAAAAAAATACGAATTCTAAACAATTGGGGAAAAAAAAGCAAACAAAATAAATTACCATTGTAAAGTGGCGCTAAATCCAATGCATTTGATCCATAGCCAGCTAAAGAAAATCCCATTAAACCAACTGTAACAGAGAATAAAGTAACCGCAGCTGTTCGATTACATCCAACTAGACTGACACAGATTAAGCTTAAACCAAGGCCACCTAGAGCTAGATTAATTCAAATGAAAAAGTAATGACAGAAAGAGCAAGACTGTAATAGTGATTTATTGAATAATTTTTTTCAGAGTAATAAAAAATCAAGTCTATAAAGTCTTATAAAACATGAAACTGAAATTATTCAGTGATTTATTTTGTAAGTTGTTGAATCTTATCCATCCAAAGATTGGTTGACTTCTCTCAAGCATTGGTAGCAGGAACCTAAGGAAATCTTTCTCAAAAGTAGTCCATTTTGAAAGCGAATCCTTAATACTTGACTACAAAAATTACTATCAGTAAAGAAAAATAATGATATCTGAATCTTATTAATCATTGCAAAAAAATACAAATAATTTATTCAAGTTGTATAGCAAGTAAGTAGCAATGCAATTTGGTAGGTGTATTTAATTCTATGATGCAACTGCATCCTGATGTATTTGTCATGTTCACACTGTAACTAGTGGTATTGTAGTGAAGGAGAACACAGGTGAGGGCAACCGAATTGTATTTATCGCAAATTACAGAGTTAATTGGTAAAATAGGAAAACCATCCCGTAAACCGTTAATTTGCAAATCTTCAATTAATCATCAATCCATTGTCTGACATTTCACTGATTCATGCGTTTCATACAAATTCCATTGTGTTCCCACTCTTCCTTTCTTGATCTTCCCCCATCTTCTGCTGCCAGATATTACGTTTTCACTCGCGTCATATACTACTTATAAGTAGCGCGCACCACAGTATAACTAACTCACTCGGTAATATATATATTGAAGTTATTGATTAATACAATATCTTAACAGAATATACAAATAATGATCATTTGGTTTTATACAAAAAAGTCAATATATCTTTGAAATGATTGTCTGAATTTTAATTTTCATTTTGAACATATCATCAACACATTCTTCAGTAGATATGAAATCAATTGAATTACAACTAACCGATAATATTATTGAATTTACGTATCCAAGTGGTGGGTAGAAATTGTTTAACAATTAGAAAATCGGATACATAGGCAACAAGTAAACTAACAATCGATTGTGTAATATACGGAATCGATGACAAGAGACCATTCTAGAAAGGTAGAAATCGGAAAAGAAAACACAAAGGGTTAAATAAGCAAAACAAGAACTAAATGTGAGTAAATGAGAATTGATAGTTTTAACTTTTTTTAATGCATCTGTGGTGCGCGCTACTTACAAGTAGTATATGACGCGAGTGAAAACGTAATGTCTGGCAGCAGAAGATGGGGGAAGATCAAGAAAGGAAGAGTGGGAACACAATGGAATTTGTATGAAATGCATGAACAGTGAAATGTCAGACAATGGATTGATGATGGATTGAAGATTTGCAAATTAACGGTTACGACATGGTTTTCCTATTTTACTGAGTAACTCTGTAATTTTCGTTAAATACAATTCGGTTGCCATCACCTGTGTTCTCCTTCACTACACATCGAAAATGATTATACATTCGACAACGAAAACATTACAGAATGGAATATTATTAAACTGGTGTAAGTATAATTATTATTGACGTTATCATTCTGATGATTAGTATTATTATTGTTTTTGAAAAATATTCAATACAAGTGTAAGAATTAGCATTTTAGAGTATGCGTTCAAGACTAGTTTATGTAAGAGGAGTGCAGTTTCTCCTGAAGATTTCATTTGTTTATTTTTTCTATTTAGCATGGAATGCTAATTTACTACACATAGATAGATGTCTTGCATGCATTTAAACCATGGTAGCCTTATTCTCACAATGTACAAAATGCAAAGAATTGATTAAAAAGAAATGAAATTTACGTAATCAGCATGCATCACAACAATCAATGATGGAATCAACGAGGAAAATGCTATTTATGACACAGTTATCAAATATTTGGTAGTAGTAGTGTGATGTGTGCTACTTATACGAACGATATAAGTAGTATAAGAAGGGACGTGAAAGAAGTATCATGGTCAGAAGAGGAAACGGAAAGCAAATGAAGCAAAAGCAAGAAGTAAATGGAGTACCAACAGGAATGGAAGAAGGATGGAGCTTAGGAAGTCACGACTCAAAGATGGTGTGCAAATAGAGTATTCAATGTAGTTTTCGTTTTGTTGGGCAATTCCTCTTCTAATGCCCGGTTCCTCCGCAAATATAGCATTTATTATTTCTTCCACCCTTTATTCGTAGCGCTGCCACCTCGCGTTGTAATTCTTCTATCTTCTTCGCGACATCATCAGACTGTCTTTCACACGCCACCGAGGCGACTGTTGAGTTCATCAGTTGTCTTGTTACTTTAGCCAGCTCGCTGACGTCCATTGGTTGTGCAGCGTTCACCAGTCTCAACTGTTGGGCAACCTCTGCAGGCACACTTTCAATGAATTGCAACGCTAGCAGCTGTGCTTGCGACTCCTCATCCATATTCGGCAGACCCCGGCGCAGCGATCTTGTCAACTCCACAGCCAGCACGAGTGGGTCGCCATCCACCGTCAGTCTCGCCTCTCGGAACTTCTGCAGCGCATCCTGCCTATCCGCTGTCACCAACTCCCAGCCAGCGTCCTCCACACCATCGTACACCGCTCTCGCCCTGTTTGTTAGTAGAGTCCCCAACACCACCGCCTTCGCTCTCCGCCCCTTGACTTCTACCAGCTCCGCCACGGCCTCAAACTCCTTCAAGAAGCTCCTTACATCTCCGTCTTCAAACTCGCGAGGCCATGGGATCTTCATCCTGTGTAGAGGCAGCGACACCAATTGAGAAGACTGAGGCAGGCGCGGAAGATTAAAAACGAACACATTAGATTGAACACTCTATTTGCACACCATCTTTGAGTCGGGATTTCCAAAACTCCATTCCTGTTGTTGCTTCCTTTCCTTCCTGTTGGTACTCCATTTACTTCTTGCTTTTGCTCCATTTACTTTCCGTTTTCCTCTTCTGACCGTGAGACTTCTTCTTTCATGTCCCTTCTTATACTACTTATATCGTTCGTATAAGTAGCACACACCACAGTAGTAGATACAACACAAACTCACAGACACTTAACTTATTTTAAAATAACGAAACCTTAATCAGTTGAAATTCATACAGAAAATCTCTTACGAAGGTTTCAGTTTCATTGAATTAAAAATACAGAAACTGTTAATTGTTTAATCATTATGAGGTGAGTATAGTTTCGTTATAGGCTACTGTGCAATGTTGTATGTAGGTAGGTTAGTTGACCATTCACAATTATTCTTCAAGAATATGTGTCCTGTACTCTTAGTCATTAAGAAGACAAGCATAAAATGACTGGTATTCTATCAAAAAGAATGTATTTTGTAGAATATATCATTTCTTCACGTTTAATTTTTATCAATTACAATTAAGTAGCTGTAATTTCACAATGAATTATATATATATATATATATATATATATATATATTGTAAATGAAGACTTACTTCAGTCATACTGAATCCAAGAACGCGAAACAAATAAGTAGGCATAGATGTTACTAACGAATAAAACGACCAGTTAAAACAAACATGACAAATGAGAATTGACCAAACTGGACCTGATTGAAATATCTGCCGCCATGGGACTGGATTTTTTTGTAAAACCCTTGATTCAACTGAAATATTATCTAAACTAGAAAAAAAAATAGTCAAGTTTTATAACAAATAAATTGTACATTTCAAAGATCATTCACAAAATAGCATTTATACAAACAATGAATAACACTATGCGACTAGATATATTGCAATATTACAGAAGTTTAATAATAATAGGTACTTTTCCTTGCTTGAAAACCATCTTGGAGGAGATATGTTGTAGTCACTATTTTATCAAGGTAGAAGTTAAGAGAAATCATCTATATTTATCTGTCAGTTTTTAAATTTTATTGTTTTTTTGATAAAATTAGCCAAATCACATTTGAACAATAATGTCAATCTATAATAAATTAAGTCACTCACCAGGTACTTGAGCATAAGCCACATCCTAGGTGTGAAAATCAATGACACTATATGGTTGTCTAAACCACAACAAGTGAAACAGCCTTTGGACTTAGAAATGAGTGACTGAAACTCCATCACCACCGTAGCCAGCTTCATTGGTTATTGTGTATTAGCTATAGCACTTATTGTATTAAAAGGTATGCGAAAATCTTACATGACTTCATTGTCACTGGCTTATTTTATCAGCTCGTGTTAACCATGTGCACAAACAAAAGCATGTAAAATCACACATAAACTTGAGTTCGCTCATATTTAATTTGATTGAGGCTTTCGATTAATTTATTTAACCAAGTCATTTTCATAGTAACAACTTACGTGTACCATTTGTTTTTATTATTGTCTAATTTCTATGACCTGGTACGACTGAACATTGCTTACGCACATGAGCTTACTCATCCTTTTCGCGTTAATGTTAATCTCTTAATATCCCTATGTGCTCGCATGATTTGTCTCGCTTGCTTTTGACCTTGTCAATCATCCGTCACTTTTATTCATATGTGCATATCTATTTTGCTTGTCATATGTCTATCTTATTTTTTGTCTGACTATATATTCTTAGTCATGCTCTATCTCTTGGAATTGGTTCAACAGCCTTCTCCAATTCACGTTGCTTCATTCGTTTTATTCACAGCTTCTCCGTTTCGCTTTGCGGTGTGTGTCCCAAATAAACGTATTCATCGCTACCAGTTCACGTTCTGATTTATAAACCGTCAGACGCTATTTAGTAACGATTGTCTAAACAAGCTAATCACGAACATGAAGAACACGCAGTAAATCGACACACCACAAGTTTCATTTCATCATAGAATAATATCGATCATTTCAATTGTAATTTATTTGAAGAGGTTTCTGAAGTCCCAGTGAGAAAACGTTACTAGTAGATTTTAGACGGATCAGGAGTGAGACGATTGTCTACAAAGACACAAACAAGACTCAACGAAATCAAAATTAGTAAATACCTTGTAGAGTCAGCCGGATTCGTGCTACCATTTGTCATTCTTTCCTGTAAATAATAATAGATATAAGTAAATAAATCTACATTTATGCAGATTAACTAGAACAATTTCAAAATTGAATCAGCAATTAAAATAACCTGTAGCCCAAATTGATGTATTTATTAATTGATATGCTGATTTTTCCAAGTTTAAATAGAAACATTCAGTATTATAACCGATGGTGCCAGTGGATAGTTTACTGAACCTTTTATTTATTCATAATTTTGTACCACACACTTTGATTCTGAGTGGTCGCTATCTTGTTTTCTCTGCTTTGTACCCTTCGCCGATTTTCTCTGTCAAGATTTCGGTATTCTTTCGATACTACGAAATCGCTAGCAAATAAACTTATTTCATCTGGACAATCCCAGTCTCGTTTCTTATTAATTCATGACAGGATAACGCTTAAGACCCGAACGTAATTGGTTGGTAGAAGTGTTCATTGTCATCCACGACTCGAACCACCATATTGTATCACTGAGAGGATTGGGGTATGACAGCATTAAGGTGTTTCTACCACACTAAAAAGGGTCTTGATGATAACATAATCTGTGCATGTTTAGCACTCATTTGAAAATTCCACAATTCGATAATACAGAGGCTACCTTTAGTTATTCCAGAGCACCTAGACTCATATTTTGTTTCGATACATGGCAAAAATTTGAAATCGTGGTACGCTAACCGTAGCACAGACTTTATACTGACTTGATTTTCCTGAGTTTTCTGTTTCTAAGCCTCATGCAACAAGGTTGGATAATAGCAGAATCTGTGATGTGCACTTCATCCTATTTCGAAATCATTTCAATGATTTACACTTCCAGACCTAAAAGTAATACCTTTCACTCCAAACACCGTGTTACTAAGTACAAGGTTTAAAAAGTTTCGAGACAATCAGCTCAGAGTTTATATATGTCAACAGAGACTGATCAATCATAATCTTATAATTCAACAACAGGAAACCACAAACTTATTCCGTTTATACAAAATATTTATCTTTTAAGAACTTCAGCTTACTGACTGTTTATCCTTTTTTGAATAATTATTTATTGATGATGATAACAGATATTGTTTTTCACTTTCACTAATCCATGGATGTTGACTAGGACTATTGAATACTAAAAGAATCCATATTACGGAGAAGATTACAGCAATTACACCATTAGTATAATGAACATAAGGCCAATAGGAAACATAAGTTGTTGAATCAGTAGAATGAATTAATCTTGGTTGTGAAATTACACCGGCCAAAGATTGGCCAATAACAGCGCCAAATATTAAACCTTAAGAAAAATTATTAATATAGCAAACCAACATTTAAGTCATGTAAGATATACAGTTAATATGTGCAAATTTTAAAATAAAGACAGATCGGCTTATACTGTATGTTACTTTAGCTACTTAATATTACTAAGTAGCTAAATATAACTACAAGAATTTAATTGCTACCCTGCATAAATTTGTTGATTTTTTATCTTTGTGGCTGAATAAAGTTATCTGGTTTCGTTTTATACTGTCTGTACTTACAAAAGTGAATTTTCTCATAAAAGACAGTTCAATGTCATAGTTTATGTTATGGAATGACCTTCGTAGATGGAAAACTATTAAAAACCAGGAAACACTGGACAGGTGTTTCGTACTAGTACAGGACCTCTCAGCAGCACATATCCACGATGGGAAATAGGCACACAACACTAAGAATTGACTGACATATGTACCGGTGGTCATTGGCTTAGTGATTTAAAGGTTAAATGCCTGTGCGCACAATCGAAGATCCTGAATTTGTTCCCTGGTGAGAAAGCTGATAAGCATTGCCGATGTATTCTGTACTAAAGTGGGACACTCCTTGCTCTAAATAAGATTGGTTTATAACGTAGACCATTAAAATCCGACAATATTCACAAACCTCTATATAAATACGAAAACGGATCAATCTTTAACCTTCAAAAATATTGCCTATCTATTATAGCTCTACACTTAACATATCCTCTTTTCCAGCATTCGAAAAATTCCTTGATTTATATATGAACTAGGTATTTCATTTACATGATATTCTTTCATTTAATTTCCTACTGGTTACTCTGTGATTTCAGAAAACATTAATCTATTAGCAGAACCATGATCTATCCAAGCTTTACGGTCAGGTGTCAGAGAATCCTAGGATTGCTTTAAGGCACAATTTTATCATTCCACAAGTATGTACAGACAATTATCCTATAAATGCAGTTTTCTAGAGTTCATTTAGGCAGTAAATTGATTTTCAAACAAACAAGACCGAATATATTGAATATTTTCATTGATATGATAGATAGATTAAAAGTTAGTTCACATTAGTAATGGATAGATTACTTAAGCTACCTTTAACTAATTTTAGTAGGTTCGTTTACTAGCTTTATTGACTAATATTGTGTTTTCTTTTCAAATGTATGTGTTGTGTCCAGGTTATAAATCTCATGAAATGCAGCATAGTTTAATAACTATAAATAAAATGAATGTAACCTTATGCACAATGCAAAAGCAACAACAAAAAATAGTTATGACCAGTGAAGTTCAACTAATTTGATGAATGAGACTGTAATAGATTATAGTTGGCAATGTTGACTAATATTAGTAATGTGAACCATTCAGTATACAACCAGTAGTTAATAAATAAATAACTCTTCGCAATACTTGATAATATTAAATGCAATCCCTGGTGAACTAATCAATATGATATGATTAGAATAAAACACACACACCTAGTTACAACCTTATTTTTACTGTTTCATTAATTCAATTACAAATTGAACAATTCGTGAAAATCACTTACAGCAATAAATAATAACAATATGCACACTGATATAATTATTTCACTATCTAGCAATGAGAAATTAACATTTTACTTTTCCAAGTATATATATATACTAAATTTATGCAACAATTAGTTTGTTTTTAATTCAATAGTTTATACAATTAATAGATATAAATTTTTCAAATTTTATGCAAAATAAAACTACAGTTGAATAAATAAAACAAAATATCAAACCTGAGAAAACAAATGCAGTAAATCGACTTTTTTCATTTGGCGGTGACCAATTACCAATTAAACAGCCTATATTCGGCATTACTACACCCTTTTTAAAGAATGAAAACAAAGTGAACAAAAAAAAAATTGAGAAGATCAATAAATGAATGAATGAGATCATGTTGAGTGAACAACAATCCGTAATCATGATAAATATCATGTTTTTTTTAATCACTTTTACATAGTTGGTCAAATTCTATGGATTAGGTTTTGGTATGATGACTTAACAAAGCCAATTGATCTCACATAAACTGTTTGAAATGTTAGACTAATCAACTGTAAACATCACAGACTGAAACTTAGTCAGTAATGAGGCGAATGGATAGACAATAGTGTCTGTGAGGTTGGATGAGGTGGATTCCAGTTCGATGGGCAATATTAGTTCCAACGAATCCCAACTGGCATGAAGCATAGGTCTAGCAAGATCGTGAACCGAATATTACGAATCACCTAATAGGTCATTATTTGTTTGGAATATGCGATATGAATCAGCTAAATTCGGAATGTATATATAACACCAGCCTAGAAGAATAAATCTTTGCAGTTTAAGAAAAACCTAGTTCATCTTTAACTAAATGAGGAACTTTATGAACATATTTGATTATGAACTGATTGAAGTAACTGGGAGACCAGTGTATATAACCCTAGAGCATTGGGCAGTTATTACCTTGTAGTTTCCCAACCGTAGCTGCTACCTTGACGTGGTGGTCGGGCTCGCCTATCGTGATGACCCAACCGAGCTATACTGGCTAGAACCTTTGTTCCTTCAGATCCTACCATGCCACACACGTCGATTGGAGAACGATCAGACTAAAAGCAACTACTCAAGGTCTCAGGGCGAAGTCGTACTGCTGACTGCAGAGGGGTGTGACAGCAGTAACGTGTTTCCCTCGGACAATCAGCATCTGCAGCGATGCTGCCTTCTCACAAGGAAGGATGGGTTAGAAAAGGTCGACCCTAAAAATGTCACACATCACTCTACCTCACGGATTTCCGTCTCCGGTGGTGAGGGTGCCCACTAAGGGCTTTCAAGAGCGGAGCTAATACTCAAAAAACCCTTCATAAAAAGGCCGTGCGTGACCGGCCCCCAAGCAGTTGTTCCTTAGGCTCTGCGGTCACGCATCCAGGTCTCTAAGACCAACGCTAATATACCTTCCTTTTCAGGTCCATCCAGAAACAACCTTCCACAGTTTGGGTAGCCGGGAAGTGACAGCCGCCCTCATACCCGTAACAGCAAGAGAGATCAAATTGGTCAGAATCAAATCCTTCCTACCTTGTAGTTTGAGATGATGATCAAGCACTAAATTATGCATACAGAACTTTCAAGACCGTGGCAACAAACCACAAATTAAAATCCAATTGTTTACATTTCAAACTTGAGTAATTTGTGGTGACAGAGGTGAGACTATCATTAGCCACTGTAACTGATAGTTAATTAATTGTACTACTCAATCAACACTCGGTTAACTAAAGTAACCCATAATGTCGTTGAATAAAATTAAGAGGATTCATCAAAGAATGTTATTTTTCGACAAAACCACTTACTTAAGCTCTACAATCGTATTCATAGTTGTTTGATAAATATATGAGTTTACAGGAGGGTAGAAGAGAATGGTGGCATTAAGTAATCCGAGTATTTCAATAAAAAAAAAATAAGATTACGACGTAATGAGTAATGTGATTAGAGAAGAATAGGAAGAAGAAAGCAATTTACAGGTCATTAATAATAATCCACTTAACACATATAAATAAGAATTAAATATTGTAAAGGTTATAATAATAACTCAATAATAACCATGAGGAGTGGTTACGGTTTAAAAAGTACAGAATAAAAATAAAACCATTGATAAGACCGGAACATACAGTAGAGGGAAATTAGAGTTAGGGGAAGATGAGAGGCTGAATGCATCAGTTTACATACAGAGTTCAGGCTTGAATTGGAGGTGGATCACCAATGCCTCGGTAGTGCACAAGCTTTTCATCCGACCTCTCTTTGATCTACTTCCTTTGACTGTGTATAGATTATTTTGAGGGACCATTCCTCCAGGTCAACTCATGCTGAATTGATTAAGCGCTCCTATATTGAGCTAGTGAAAGCTTAGCATATTCCACTTAAAGACCACTCCATATATTGTTCTCAGAAGTGTTTGGAAAGTGTTTTCTTTGTGCGACCAATGTAAATTGCACCAAAAGAGCAAATAAGTTTACAGATGAATAATGTTGTGGTGCAGAAAATTTATCCTTAACACACCTGCAAATGATAAACCCTCTTGAAAATACAATAAGAAGCTTAGCTGATTAGGCTTTGTACAATCATTTTGAAATCCGTTTTTCCAAGATTTCGGTAGCAATATAACCTTTAAGTTCTATATTCATAAAAAGAGGATATTTTTAATTGTTGAGCTTCCACAAGATGTAGTTCTTAAGTTAATTTTCTATCGATGAATCTGGATGAGTATCCATGGAAATTGAGGTAGTTCGTTATCGATTGTGTGGTGAGAATATATTAGCTTAGTCTTTGAGGATAAACGGTGTGTAAAGTTTCGCTTTTAACTCCATGGTACCTCTAGCTATCGAAATTCGTAGACATTCCGATCCCGGCTGCATTTCAGAATTCGCCTCTTCTTCTCATATGAACTTAACTTGGTGGTGACAGTTATTGAATTATTCCAAGACTTCATTGAGGTTTATATCTTCCTCACAAATAGTGAAAGTCTCATCCTTACATTTCGTAAATTCCAGATTGGACAGGAAGTAATCAGCCAAGACGGTTAACCCATTAAAAATCCATCAATTTTTCCATAGAAAGCATTGAGAGTATATCGAAGAATTATTTCTTTCATTTGATTTTCCGGAACAAAAATATCTTGTTTTCAATAAAGACATATAAAAACGTCTTTAAAGCGAGAAAGGTAATAGAATGAGAAGATTTTTCTACCATTTACGTTGATAGTCATAACAGAATCGACAAAATTGAACGAATCAAGAGTTTGTTCTATATGATTACTTCAAAGTCCTATTATATCTTATTGTTACATTTGTGTGACATAGATGAATGAATACCAAAAAGAAAGAGAAGAAAGGTAGCAAGTATACTGGAATCAGATCACAAACATGATTTGCTACGCGTTTTTCATAAGCAAAGCGCATGGTTTAATTATCTGACACAACATCAAATGGAAGCTTTTCGCTGTTTACTACTGTCTAGAGCTACCGTCTTCATTGTAATTCACTTGGTTTACAAAAAGTACGGAAAATGAAGCTTTGCACAGCATTTTTTTAGTATGCATAGCCGTGTGTTTGAAAAGTCCAAACTTCCGGGTTCTTTAATTAGTTAACTTGGTAGGCAGTTTTGAAACCTTCGCAGTACGCTTCATTCAGGCAGGAGGCGAAGCACAGATGCATCGTAACGTAGACAGGTCAGCTGTGGTGCTATTTTTTCTGTACACAGATTCAGAAGTACACAGTCTGTTGATTCGTAGACACTAAAGTAATTGGTAGCACCTAAAGATGTTACTCTGTCAGTTAGTGGCATTGGATGCCTCTATGAAGGCGACACTAGTAGCCTTTGGATCTGCATCTCAAGAAGCATCAGACATAATTGAAATGATTTTAACTCTTTTCTGTGACGGTCTTTTGTCTTGTATACCAGTCAGCAGCTTCATCAGTGACTACAGTCCTTCCATCATCAATGCTCTAGGTACAAAGTTCCAAGGTGCCCAGCAAATTTTGCGCATAGTTCACACTATACGGTAGGTTCTTCGGTGAGTAAGCAAAAAACATATTATTTGATAATTATTTCTTCCGAATGGACCAACTAGTTTTCGAAAGTAATGTGCACCAGAGACGTTAAACAGTAAAAAATGTGTTTATCCATTAATATAATTCTCAGACCTCATTTGTAAGCAAGCCAATGCCATACAACAGGAAAATCTCACCTTTCCCGTTACCATGAGGACAAATTATTGACGAAGAAAGATAATCGAACTTGAGGGTTCAGGCTGCAAGCTAAATCACTTCTATAGATCAACACCAACCTCGTAGAAGCCATATAAGAAGTTATGAAGATCTATAGTTTAAATGAGAAGTGACCTGTTCTACTTTGTTTCTGAGATGCGGCAAACAAAATATCACAAATTTGTCAATGAAGATTTTAAGTACGCGATTACCCGTAACACTGTTGATATGTTAAAAATCCAAAGATGTATAGGTCCGCATTTTTTTCAACTTATGATATATTGTATGCGCGGCTCCAACCAAAAAACTAGCCTCTCAAGAAATGCCTTTTCAGTACAAGATTAAAACAGAAGGCATACCATGCGGAAAAATCTCATGAAATATGAGAATAGTTTCAGGTTTGAAATGCAGTTACCATATTCGTACTTGAATATGTATGTCGTGCAGTTGAATGACGCTGGTAACAGCATAAATCTGATAATCCAGAGTTAAATTTCTATTTACTTAAGTTACATAAATTCGAAAAACAATAAATTTGGTATGTAAGACTAATCGTCAATATTTGAATGGATACTTTGACAGAAATTAAGCGCCGTGTTTATGAAAGACATTAATTTGCGATAATAATAATAATCGAAATAATTTCAGAGATTGAAATTTAAATCATTCCAATGCTTCTTCTGGTAATCTTGCCTAGGCTTCTTCAGAGTGAGAATAATTAAAATCAAAATTATACAAAAAATTTCAAATATAATTTTCAGAAATAATAGTAAGATTTAGCAATTCGGGAAACAAATAAATTTAGGATTCGGATTAAACACTTCGATATTCACACTAAAACTATGTACTTTGCTACTTCTTACAATTTCAAATAATAACATTGATAATAAAAATTATATGAATTTAAACTATATTTTTGTTAAGTTAACAATCAAAAACGATGAGCTTTAGGATATGATTGTTCAGGATTTAAAATTATTTACGAATTCTGTTTCAATAATAACATTAAATATACAAAGTTGACCTACATAGTAATTTGTATTCAGTTGACCATAGTCGGCTTAACACAAAGTATCTATTCATCTATGATTA